CTGTGCCGCGCAGCCCATTCATCACCGTCCCCAGCAAACGCGAGCCGTCCATCCTGCGCGGGCCGTCCACTCGGAAATCTCTGGGACCTTGCCAGCGCATCGACCGTTCCCGTTCGCGCGCCGCCAAAGCCGCACCGTCCCTGCGTCGCCCTTGCAGAGAGCGCCCGCGCCGTCCGAGCGGAATCCAAGGAAGGTAGGTGTGCGATGCGTTCGTCTTGAGCTGAGCTGCCAAACCACCTACTTGCTGCGAGGAGGAGACTTGGAGAGAGACCATGGCGGCCGGTCTGCGCTCCCGACATGTCGCGCTGGAGCAGAGGCAGCGGGCACGGCTGCGACATACCTAGGACTGCACTGAACAGGCCTGCCCGTTGTCGTCGACGGCTGCCTCCCAGAGCCAGACATCAGTTGGCGGCCTGCCTACAGCGCGACTTGGTACCTATTACTGGCGTGTGACGGCGTGTCCGCGCGAGCCGTGTGCGTGAGCCTGGCCCCCAAGTTCAGCCTCGTGCCACACTGCCACCGAGCCGGGCCTCCTTCGCCTCAGAGCCTCGCCGCCGGCCCAGGGAATAATTAGCAGCCCGCGCAGACATGGCTCTGCTGACTTGCAGCGACAAGCGGGCAGCGAAGCATACCGAGCACCGTAGACCGTTGTCTCTTTTGCCGTTGGCCTGCGGAGGAGGGCTCCCGTCCTAGGACGACGTTCGGTCACCACCAAGGGCGGGCCACCACACTCTCTCACACCCCGGTCGAAGCCCGCCGCACTCCCCCCCTCTCAGCCACGACCGGACTCAGAGCCCTTTCTTCAGAGTACACCTTGACCCAATTGCGGCCATATGCCCAAACCGCGTGCCCACGTCTTTATCCCCTTTTTTTGCTGTGTTTCCCCATGTGGCCGCGAGCAGACCGGGCCTCCCGCCGCCGTGCCTGGATGACTGCGGGTGGTGGTTGCTGGCCTGGGCGCGCGCGGAGTGGCTTGCCTTTCTCTCATAACAGGGGAGGGGGGTGACGGCCGGGAGGGAGGCTTCTCACACTTGATGGCTCGACGTGACCTCGATGCTCCATATACATGATCTCCCGTCGCCGTCGCCTGCCCATCCTCTTTCGAATCACCTGCGTTGCCCGAGTGCCTGCTCTGAATCATCTCTCCCGCTCGTCTTCAGCTCGTCGCGAGACATTCAGCACCGAGTCTCTCTATAGTCTATCCCGTGGCTTACACGCCGCGTATGACGCTTTCATTACTTTAAACAAGCGTTCCGCTGCCTTCGCTCCGGGAGCACTCTCTTTTGTCTCTCTTTCTCCTTGTAAAACCTTTGCTCCCACATACTCGATCTACGACTCAACCGCGAGAAGAAGAACCCGTCTTGTTTGCCCAAACAAAGACGGGTTCGCACACATACACACAACGGTCGGCGTCGACCTCAAAACCGCCAAAGTGGGTGCCCAGCAGAGCCAACCCGGCCTCCCCAAGGTCGACATCCCCGACCTGTCCGACCTCCCGCGAATGTCGCGGCGCTGGTACTTCGAGACCACACCGACCGGCAAGGAACAGTTCGTGTCCATCAAGCGCTCCCGCTCCCACCACCACCGTCGCCACCACCACCACCACCACCACCCCGAGCATGACACGATCCGGGTCGGGCGCGACGAGTGGAACCGCCTCGCGGAGCGGGAGCGCTGCCTCGACGAGGCCAACAAGAGCCTCGTCGCCGAGGTCAGCGCCCTAAAGGCCAGCCTCTCCGCCGCGCAGGCCGAGGCGCACCACCTGTGCCACGTCGTCGTCCCCCAGCTGCAGGGCCAGATCAACGTGCTGCTCGCCGACAACGACGCCCTCCGCCGCTCGCTCGACAACGCCGGCAACAGCTCCTCCAAGCACTGCCACGAGCTCGACCGCCTCAAGGGCATCATCGCCGCCCTCGAGAAGGAGAAGTGCGCCCTCGCCGCCGACAACGCCGGGCTCAAGGACAAGATCAAGAGCCTGGCCAAGCAGCTCGAGCAGGCGTGCGGCCGCCGCGTCTCGGACCTGCTCGCCGACATCGACTACTGGAAGGACCAGGTGCGCTACTGGAAGTGCAAGTTTGAGGACACGAGGCGCCGCCACGACGACACGTGCGGCATGCTCGAGATACGCACCGAGAAGATGAGGGCGTACGAGGAGATTTTGAGGCGCCGTCGCATCATATAGCCGGTGCCGCGGGGGGATAACCGTTGGACGGATGAAGCGTGCCGCGGAAAGGGCAATACGCGAAGACTGAAGACAACGGCACGAGGCAGGACGGTAAGTGCCTCGAAACTTGTCCAGTCATTACTTTGTACAACAACTGACGGCTTCCAAGGCGTCGATAGCGACATAAAGTGTCCCCATTTATGCATGTACTTTGCTGCAGTTGCCAGGATTGATGTTGCGCATAATGAACATGAACGCATGCCTCGTTTCGCACTGCCGTTGCGCTCTGGCTCGCTTCGAGAGCCTCTCATAGAGTTTCATATTTCTATTGTCATCTCTACAGATAGCGGCGCCAAATACAAATTTACGAGTAAACCTTGTTCAGGGCGCGTGTTACCCCCTCGTGATGGCGGCACGTCGTGTGAGGTTGCCCGTGTAAGTGAGTGGAGGAGGTCATGTGAGACAGGTCGCCGAAACGGGCAACGCCAACGCCCAACGCCAACCACCATCAGACGCCGCATGGAACAGGCAAGATGGGCTCGGCTGGCTGCCAATAGGATAATAGGGAGGCCTCGCGGGAGGGTGGACGGGGTTGGTTCGCGGGACGGACCACGGGCGTGGCGATCACGTCAGAACCCAGATTGATAAGATGCAGGCACACGGGTACGTGTTCCTCCTACATTGCCATGGTTGCATGGTCAGTCATGGTGCAGACCATCATCCATCGTGGAGGGCGGTGCGATGCATTGGCGGGGGCTGGCGGCGGGCGGGCAAAGTAGGGCACCAGGGGCACCGGCAGCAGCGCTGACGGTGGCGACGGAACGGCTCGGCCGCGCGCGCGCTTCCAGAACGGCATCGCGCATAGTATGTAGTCCTAGACGCCTGCGCCTGCGCCTGGTTCGAACAATTAGCCGCGTCGAGGAGGGCAAGGAGGTTCGAAAGTCTGGATTGCGGCCCTGCCCTGGCAGGCTTGGTGCTGTGTTTAGTGCGGGCTGTCTTGGGCCCTGGGCCTTTGAGCCAAACTGGTCGCACTCAGCCTGAAGGTCCTGGGTCAGCAAGCGCCGCGCGTCGTTCATGACGAGCCGGTCGGGCCGGACGGAGCGCGGGATAGGCGACGGTCGATTGCAGTGTCTGCGGCTGCGGCGTCTATCCTTGTCTGCGTGTAGTTTGATGTGAGAGGCAACCGATGCTCGATGGATTCACGCGCGGCGACTTTGCAGACGACGCGGAGGACTAAGCAGTCTTCCATGGCGCTGGTACTTTGCACTTATCCGCGTCATCTACATACGCACTCTGCAGCGGCGCGCATATGAAGGGAAAAAAAAAAAAGACACACGCAAGGAACCCCAATGCTGAGGTCCAAGAGCTGCAACTGTAGCAACTCCCTCGCACAGTTGATGCGCACATTGCTTTGTGCGGGTTCACCATTCTCGCTGCCCACTCATGGTGCAAGCAGGTGACCGAAGAGGAAAGAGGGCATGCCCTTGCTCGCCGTTGGTTGGAGGCCGCCGGAAAGAGGCGGGTCTGACAGCCCCGGACAGCGGGTGAAGCCGCCAAGGGACGGACAAAGACGAGAGCTGCGTCTGGCGTGTAACTAACGCCAGGCATGCGCGGGTCTGCACTGCAGGTTCGGAGTAACAATCGCCAGGCCTGCACGGGTTGCGCTTCGCAGGTACGGAATCCGGAGTAACGATCGCCTGGCTGGGCTCCGAAAGCGCGAGCGACACACCTTCGGTCAGCCCTACGCCGCGCGCCAGGAGCAAGGGACGTTACCCAGTCGTGGCTGGCATGGCGTGGGGGAGGGGGCTTGGGGGGTCTCCTCCGACACCCTCGTCGACGCCCGTCGCCGCCGGCTCACCGAGCACAAACCGCCATCGTGCGGCTTCGATGGCTTTCTGCGAACTGGCGCGCTCGCGCTCGCGCTTGCGCCTGCAGGCCGGCCGGAGCGGCATCATCTGATGGTGTGCGTCCTCGGCGACCAGTGGCCCATGGCGTCCGCCGTCGTGCAATCACGGCCGGCAATGGGTAGGGCTCGGCGAGTGTCGGACAGGCCATCAAACTCACGTCGACGCATCGGCATGCAAACCGCTCGTGGCGGGCGCGTCTGTGCTGCGTGCCAGTTCTCGACGCTTCGCTTCGCCGTAGGGCCACGGCTGCGGCCACGGCCACCATCACCACCACCATGAGTCACCGCGTCACCGACGCCGCGGCAGGCCCTCGTCATCGCGTCACCTGCCCTCCAGTTCGACCAGGCTGCAGGGCGAGGGCTCGCCCTTCGCCTGGCGATCCCAAGGACCCGGTGCGGCTGCTAGGCTAGGCGGACTGCCTGGCGGACCACATTGGGGGCCGCGACGGACAAGGCAACCCGCGCACACGGAGCCAGCAGGCCAATGGCGTGCCTCCGTGGTGGGAATCGTGCTGTGTTCTGATGTGTTCGCGCCTCGGGAGCCTTTTTTCGACTTTGGCGGAGGATGCGATGATGCCTGCTGGGCTTTGGCAGAGAGGTATCGAGGACCGGCGAGAGGTCCCGACGCCGTAGGGCCATTGCGTGGGCGCCGTTCACGACGGCCCGGACACTGGTACCAGCCGGCGTGCCGAGGCGATCGACAATCGCCTCGGGCCTCGACCAGGATGCTTTCCAGGGGCTGGGCGCGTGAGATTGACGTGATGGTTGATGATGTGCTGACGGGGAGGCGGCAATGGGCGGCAGTCGTGACGATGGCGAGCATGGTGTTTTGCGTTGGACTAGGCACCCAGCAAGCCCCCCCGGAGGCTAGGACTGACGACGAGACCCCTGGGACAGTGGCAGGGCAACACTAAATCCAGAGCTAGGGGACGCCAGCGCGGAGGCTGTCGTGGCGGAAGCTGGCGGAACGCCGCTGATGACGCCGCTGAGGTACGCTGGAGGTGCGCCAGGGAGAGTCCTGGACAGGACGGGCGCCCCCAACGGCCGGGGGGCTCCTTCCATCGTCTCTCTCGACTGGGCGCAGCACAAAGCAGCCTGGGCCGGCGCGGTTTTGGGTGCTGTGCGATGCTCTGCTGGCGCTGTCTTTGTCTCCCAAATTCATCGTTTTTCAGTGCCCGGACGGCGGTGCCAGCCCGCGTGCCACCTCGTTCCATCCGCTTCCCTCCCCAAATTCCCCCTTCGCGCGTCCCTCGCCGTCCCTCGCTCACTCTCACGCCTGTCTCTTATACACATCTAGATGTGTATAAGAGCCCACCCACCCACGCTCGCAGACAGGCCACGGCCTGGCTTGTCACTACCGACACAGACCAGCCCGCCAACCAATCTGACCGAGGACCTGCCTGGCGGCGCCGGCTGCTTCCTGCGCGAGAAAAAAAAATCTACTATACATATCTTCTCAACTCCAAGCTGCCTCCTTCCTTTAAATACGTTGCCTTGCCTTGCCTTATCGTGTGACTCTCCCTGCCTGGCCGTTCTCTCCATCGAGCCTCTCGTCGACCCCGTCGTTCATTCTGGTTCTTGTTGACACAGACCCGTCCATCCCTTCATACCTGGACCCGCGAGCCACAGTGCCACCATCGCCCGCCAGCAGACTGCCGATACCCCAGCGAGCTACGACGAGTCCAGTACCGGCCGACCAGGGTCCACCGACTTGCGTGCCTGGCACTTCACCGTCTCATTTGCAAGCATCCAGGTTGCCCGGCCTAACATCAATATCGGTGTCATTATCGACCTGGACGTCTTGCCTCGACGCCCTTACCTTACCCTTCCCATTATTGCCTGGCCCGCCGACCAGGCAGACACTCTCGCTGCTTTCCGCCCGTCGACCTGCCTACCTGGGCATCCGGCTCCGACTCATTCACCCTCTGCGTCTGCGACCCGCACTTGCACGCAGTTCCACCTGCTCTGTTTGACACGAGACGGCCCGTCAACCAGGTCGACATCGCCGCCATGCCGTCTTCCTCGTCGCAGCCGTCCTTCAGCCAGCGTGCCTCGGCCAATTCCGGCAGGCGCGCTCATCAGAGTCACCACAGCTCCCAGCCGGGCCAGACGGCGTCAGGTTTGTCTCCCTCCCTGCACCACCGTCCTCAGTCCTCCCTTCCGCAGCCCCGGTCCTGCACCGCTGTGCCAGTACCAGTACGTGCACCGGCTGACATGTCCCGCCCAACTAAAGAGTACGCCGAGGCGCTCATGGAGGACCTGAAGAACGCAAACACGGACCTCAACAAGGCCAACTCGGAGCGCGACCGCTACAAGTACCTCTACGAGCAGGCCACGCTCAAGTTGTCCCAGTCCCACGCTGCCCAAAACGACCTCAAGGCCCAGGCCCACTCGCTCAAGGATGACTTTAGCGTGCTGCGCGCCCGCGTCCAGCAGCTGGAAGATGACAACGCCCAGCTGCTGTACGAGAACGACCTGTGGGACAAGCACTACACCGGGCTCGAAAAGAGCTACGGCGAGCTCACGGTGCAGTACAACAGCCTGCTGGCGTCAATGCCTTCGTCTTCATCGTCGTATCGCATCTCGACCAACTTGCCCGAGAGGCCGAAGCGGGCGTCTCACCACAAGAAAAAGCCGTCGTCCTCTTCCACGCGTAGAGAGCACAAAGAATCGTCGCCCGCGTCGCGCAAGAGCAACACTAGCAACAGCGACAAGGAGCAAAAGGACCGATTGTCAAAGCGTTTCGAAGAGAAGCGCCCGTCGTCGAGCGGGGGCCGGGGCTCGCGCCGGCACAGCTTCATCGAGGGCTGGGGTCCCGCCTCCGGATCTTCAGCATCGGCTGCTCCACCAACAACCGGGGCCACGGGCCGGGCGTTTGCCGGCGTGGCCACGGCGGGCCTTGGCCAGCCGCCCGCCGTATCCCAGTCGCACAACAAGGTGTCGTTCTCCTCGGTGCCCCGGACCACGGCCAACCCGCTCAGTCCTGGCCTGTACAGCAACACGGCGGCGTATGACGACGAGTACTACGAGGATGGCAATTACCACCCGTACCCGGTGGCGCGGTAACGGCATTTGCGATACAATGCATTGTCTCAAAACGTCGCACTCGGCAACCCAGCGGGCAAAAAGGTACCAGACCCGGCTGCCTTAGCGGACCGGGTCCACTGTTTCCGCCACGCCGGCCCCGACCCAAACTTTGCTTCGTACTTCGTACACGTCGTTTTGTGTTTGGTGCGGGCAGGGAGGTCATAAGGCGCCAGCCTCCTCTTGGTTGTCCGATACCGCCCTGCTGGAGCCTCAAGCGCCGAACATCGTAACGCCGAAGGTCCCCTCCAAGGAAGCGCCGCAAGACCGTGGTGAATCGTCGCTCCATTTGCCTTGGTCTGCCTGCCGCCAGCGAACAATCCCTGTCATTGCACCCGGCTCGGACTTTGGAATGTTACCTTGGGCTTGACTCACCTTCGGGAATTCCCACTTTGACCTGTTGATAACCACAATCCCCGCTCCATTGACTTGGCCGTGGACACTCCCGCATCAACGTCAACGAAAAACGCTCGACTGCGCTGCTTTGAGTTTGTCTTTATCATCACCGCCACCGCCATGAAGCTCTATCCTAGCCTCTCTGACGACCTCGCCGCCTGGGCTCAGCGGCAGCCCGTCTTCTTCACGGCGTCGGCAGCTACGCATGGGGCGCACATCAACGTATCCCCCAAGGGCCTCACCGATACGCACTTTGCCGTCCTTGGGCCGAACAAATGCGCCTACATCGACCGCACCGGCTCCGGCTGCGAAACCATCTCCCATGCATACGAAAACGGCCGCCTGTGCCTCATGTTCATGAGCTTTGGAAACACGCCTCGAATCATGCGCCTCTTCTGCCGCGCCACCGTTGTCGAATGGGACCAACCTGCCTTCCCCGAGCTTGTACGAAAGATCGCCAAAGGCAAAAGGGAAGCATTCGACGGCGCTCGCGCTGTTATTGTTGGTGATATTTGGGAAGTGCAGACAAGTTGCGGTTACGGCGTGCCGCGTGTTAAGAAAGCGTTGTATGCGCCCGGAGAGGACGGCCCACCTACTCCGGTCGAGGATATCTTGCGCGACGGTTTCGAGCCAGACAGGAAGCTGGATGAGCTTGCCGTCTTCGAGGCACGCCCGACCATGGACCACTGGGCCTCCAACAAGGCACAGAGCAATGGCTTGGTCGATTACCAGGGCGTCAACAATGCCGACAGTATCGACGGGCTACCTGGCCTGCGCAGCGCCCGCCGCGAGACGGGCGAGACGCTCTGGTTGCGCGACCTCACGGCTCGCTTGAAGCGCATCAGCGCCGAGAAAGAAGCCGTTGCTGTTGGGTTCCTGCTTGCCATGATATTGTACTTTGTCCTGGTAGGCTTTTCCAGCCTGCCGCTCAAGCTGTAGACTTTGGCTGTACTTGTTAGTGTTTGATCTTGTTTGAGCTGGGTACTGTCTTGAAATGTAATCGTGGTCATGTTCTAACAGGCGTTGGGGAGTATGTACCGGGTATGCGCCACCATAGCAATCGAGCGCCGAATTTAGACATTTCAGTTACTTCCTCGTCGTCATTTCCACGTGAAGGAGCACCCTTCCATGGAGTTTCCTCCAACGATAGCCATTAGGTTTCGAGCCGCTGTATCAGTTGCTCCATATCCCTCTCTGCATGGCTTCTGCGAAAGCTTCTCCAGGTATGTCTCGAGCTCAAACGGACCGGCGTGAGCGTACCGCCCCCCGCCCCCCCTTTCTCCTTTTACTCTTCTTGTCTATGCATCATTCTCGTCAAAACCAAACTTGAATTCAAGCCATTAGCAATGCATGCTCCTAGGCAACATTGCAATGGGACGCCCAGTGATCGCATCAAGGTCTGTCACTACGTCATGGGCGGAGCGATGTTCTTGTCGCTTCGACCGGGGATTTCCGAACAAGGTCATGGACAACTCCATTGTTGTTTCAGTGAGGAACAAACAGCTGCCTGGTACAAAAGCGCAGCTTAATCTGTGTCTGTTACCGCTGCAAATGCCGTGTTGTAGAAGTGAGTTCTGGATCGGATGCGGACATCAAGACAGACACATATGACACTGCGTAACCCCATGTACGGCTTGCAAAATACTTTAATGTCTGCAACATAGTTGATGAGCATGCCACCGCATAGCATACGCAACGCACGTCCGCGACAAGGCTGGACAATCCTCAGGAGCATCATGGCGTGTCCAGAAGAAGCATCCTATGTAGCTACAGCTGGAGCATGCTCCCTCTCTCTTCGCTTCGTTCGCTTGTGGTTGTTAACCCTATTGCATAGTCCCGTCAACACGCTTCTTTCCTTCGCATCTTCCAAAGCATGACGGCTCGCTGCTAACTGCCATCTCATGGCACAGAAGCTGTGATGTCTGCGCAACGTCTACAACTTCTCCTTCGTCGCCATCATCCGTCGAGACGGTCTCGTAGACGTCTTCTGGACAACGGCGGTTGCACGAGAGCCTGCGCAAGTGAATCAAGCCAACTCGCTCGCTGCCCGAGGGTGGGGAGCCCGTGTGAGACGGCCTCTAGCCTCGATGCCGTTGGCTTGGATTCTTCCGGGGTTATGCTGAAATAATGTCATGGGATCAAGTCCCCTGCCAGGTCAATCAGCCACCTGTACTGGCAGCTGTCGCAGCAGCAGCCGCAGTAGCCTGAGCGTTGCCCTGTCCACCCGACTTGTTGCCACCGCCACCGCCCCTGCCTCGACGACCACGTCCAGATCCCTTCTCTGGGTTCGTAGACGATGGCGGACCACCAGAGGAGGTGGCGGCCGGCTTCTTGTCCTTGCGTTCGAGAACCTGGACTGATGTCTGGGCAACCTGCACGGGGCTCGCGGCCACGGCTTTGACGAGACTTTCATGCTCTGCGAAATCGACATAGGCGAAGCCTTTGCGCTTGTCCATGTCGATAGATGTAACGGAGCCGTAGGCCTCGAGGGCTTGCCTAAGTGAGGCATCGGTGACGCCTTGGGATGCGCTGGCGTGCTTGATAAACGCGCGTGTCGCGCCGGGAGACACGCCTGACGCCTTCTTCTGCGGAGCAGCGGCCTTGCTGTTAGCACCCTTGGCGTTGGTAGAAGAAGCGCCTGTTGATTTGCCGTTCGGTGCCTGGGCTGCTGTTGTCTGACTGTCGGCAGTAGGCGTTGCTACCTCGGCGTCAACCTTTTTCTTCAGAATAACCGGCGCGGTCGTTGGCGCGGGCTGTGAAGCTGAAGATGAAGCCTCGGCGGCTTTGCCCTTCTCGGCGCTTTTACCCCCGCGGGCTCTGCGTCCGGACTGTTGCGAGGCCTTCGAGGCCACCGGGCTGTCGGGTCGACTTCTTGGCGGCTGGGGAGTCGAGTCTGCGGGCGCTGGAGCGGTGTCGCTTGCGGAAGCCGGGCTGTCCTTGGCCGATGGCGCCTTGGAATCGGCTTCGGCCTTCGCGGCGTCGTGCCTAGCTCGCCGATGGGCGCTGCCGGGACTCAGGCCCAAGTCTCGTTGCAAAATTCTCGCGGCAGCGGCAATGCCTGCGCGGCGGCTCTTCGGGGCGTCTGCGGCACCGGCGGCGGAGATTTGGCTGGCAACGTTCTTGGCCGCATCGGCAGCTTGTTCCGTGGCCGCCTTCTTGCTCAGGATCTTGACTGTCTCTCTCGGTGCTTTCTCGGACTTGTCGGCCTTGGGATCCTTGGACTTCTTCTTGGAGTCCTCGTCCTTGGAACCGCCTTTCTTGGATGACTTGGCGTTCTTTCCAGAGTCCTTGCTCTTGTTCGCCTTCTTCTCCTTCAGATATTCGACCAACGGGGTAGTTGTGACCTTGGTTTCCTCCTTGACCTCGTCGGCTTCCTCAACATCGATGCTCTCGCGAAGCGGGGCTGGATTGGCGAGAGCCTCCAGAAAGGTCATGAACTCTTGGTCCTGGTCGATGGTTCCCTGACGGGGATCTGTGCGTCGCTTGCTGCCCGGGATCTTCTTGTATGGGGAGAACTCAAGCGACGGAGGCCCCACCAGCGAAGGGTTGGTGAAGGTCGCCTTGGCGTCTTCCCACGTCGCGGTGCGAACGATCTGGCCGAGTGCCATGATATCGTCCTTGCGCACCAGATGGAGGTATGCACGGCTGGGACGTGACGGCTTCGAGGGGCTATTGGACTTCGTTAGATTCACTGCAACAGAAACTATACCACGGAGAAAGCTGACTCTGTTGAGACCTTGCCGGGGCTGTACGACAGCCAGTCGACCTTGCCCTTGTTGACTTCCCAGTCAGGGCCGAGGATGGCAACAAACTCGGCCACGGTCATGCCGGGCGGCAAACGTCGAATCACGAGCTTCTCGCCTTCATCGTGAACCCTGGGCTTCGAGCGTCTCGAAGGCTCCGTCCCGCTCGCGTTCTGGTGATGGGGGTTAGCCGGCTTGCACAGCTTCGACGAGGCGATACACGTGCCTTAGTCGAGTCGGTGTTCCTATCTCCAGAGCCTTTAGCCCTGGGTGGCCTGGATCCGCTGGCTTCGCCCGACGATGCCTTGCCCTGGAGCGAGTCAGCGAGTGCAGCTGGCGAGAGAAGACGCGGGAGAAATACTTTGCCTTCGGCAGCCTGAGAGACGCCGTTGGACCTACGGGCCAAGACCTGTGGCCCCGGGGCCGACATTGCGCGGGCCGTCGATGATTCCGGCCGATGGCGCAACTTGCAGCTGGAACCGGGGTGCTCGCATTGGTGAGACCTCAGTGGGTGGACGGCCGGGCGGGTGAGAAGCGCAGTGAGGGCGGATGGTGGACGATGATGAGAGCGTGTTTGTGACGCTTGCTTTGGCGGGTGAAGGTCCGGCGCCCCACCACGAATCGAGTGGCCGCAGAAGGAGCAGCTGGCGGGCAGGCAGTGGGAAAGGTGTGGGGTGGACCGCAGGGGGGCTTTGGCGGATTGGCCAGCGCTCGAGATGGGAGCACGGCCGCCTGCAGGTTTTGGTACCGGATGGCGCCCGGCTTGGTGCAGTGGTACTTGATCGGTCACGTGGCAGGGCCCGCGACAGCGCCAATCTTGAACTCCGTACGAGTCGCAAGGTCCCGTGGTGGCACCCTGGCTGGCGCTGTAGGCGGTGCCTCCAGTGGTTGACACGCGCCAATACCGCACTACAGCTGGGCTTCCAGCGGGTGTCAAAGGATGTGGCTGCGGACTGCAGGTACTCCCTTAACCTGACCTGCTTCAGGGCCCTTAGTAATGTCGATGCAGCTTGTGAGAGGGGAGCGAAGAGGAGCACGACACAACATCGTCCGCCATTCCATTTCCTTCGCAGCGACACGTTATTGCTTGAATAAACCAAACACGTATTCGACTTCAGCATCCATCATCCTTGCCATTGCGTGAGCGCCCAGAGCCCAGGGCAGACCACCACGAGATTTGTCTGGCCGGTCCCGATAAACTCCCGATCCAGTCTGACGACACCCCCCACCCGCGCGACCAGCACGGGCCCAGAGCCCAAGCGCGGCACCCCCCTTGCCTGGCCCTGCCTTTGAGCTGCCCTGCCTGGCTTGCCTCGACCACATCAACCTCCCCTCCACGGGGCCATCGCCATCAACCACCCCAGCCGCGCTTCCGCTGGGCTGCCATTCCCGCCCTCGCCCTCGCCTCTCGCGGCGTGCTCGAAATCCGCCGCCATGGCGTCCACCGTTCCCCGACCGGGGCCTGCCAACCTCACCCCCAATGCCGGACTGGACGAATGGCTCGAGGAGGCCAAGCAGTGCCACTACCTGCCCGAGCGGGCCATGAAGGAGCTATGCGAGAAAGTCAAGGAGATCCTGATGGAAGGTTCGTCGTCCCTGCATGGTACTCCCTGTCTGTGCGCGCCTCGTCAGGGTCCGCCCGCTGACCACGAGCAACACACGTGCAGAGTCCAACATCCAGCCTGTGTGCACCCCCGTCACGGTCTGCGGCGATATCCATGGCCAGTTCTACGACCTGCTCGAGCTCTTCCGGGTCTCGGGCGGCATGCCCGGCGAGAATAACGTCCAGCCCCCCAAGACGGCCACCACGGTCATCACATCCGAGGATATCGAGCCACCGAGTGAGATTACGAACCCCAAGCTGCGAAAGAAGCTGCGATCGCCCATCCCAGGCTCCAGTGCTGATACCCAACAAGATGCCGCAGCCGCAGCCCCAGCGGCCGACACGTCGACTGCTTCTGCCGGCTCCAGTCCTGGTTCCGGCCCCGTGCCCACGGTGACTTCCTCCCAAAGCGCGGAAAACAGGTTCATCTTTCTTGGAGACTTTGTGGACCGCGGATACTTTAGCTTGGAGACGTTTACGCTGCTCATGTGTCTCAAGGCCAAGTGCGATCTCCCCCGTCCTCATGGACTCCGGGTTGTCCATCTGCTGACAGCGACATAGGTATCCGGACCGAATCGTTCTCGTTCGCGGCAACCACGAGTCGCGGCAAATCACCCAAGTCTACGGCTTCTACGAAGAATGCCAACAAAAGTACGGCAACGCGTCGGTCTGGAAAGCGTGCTGCCAGGTATTCGACTTTTTGGTCCTGGCCGCCATTGTCGACGGCGAGGTGCTCTGCGTGCACGGTGGTTTGAGCCCGGAGATCAGGACCATTGACCAAATTCGAGTCGTCGCCCGCGCTCAGGAGATTCCTCATGAGGGTGCTTTCTGCGATCTCGTGTGGTCCGACCCCGAAGATGTCGACACTTGGGCTATCAGCCCTCGCGGTGCCGGCTGGCTGTTTGGCGACAAGGTGGCCAACGAGTTCAACCACGTCAACGGCCTCAAGCTGATTGCGCGAGCGCATCAGCTGGTCAATGAAGGATACAAGGTTGGCGATCCTCGGCGACCCATTCAACGAAGACCATGGCTGACCTTTTGCAGTATCATTTCGAAGAGAGCTCGGTGGTGACGGTTTGGTCAGCGCCCAACTACTGCTATAGATGCGGCAACGTCGCCTCCATCATGTCTGTAGACAAAGACCTCAACCCGAAATTCAGCATCTTCTCGGCGGTGCCGGACGACCAGAGACACGTGCCGGCGAGTAGACGGGGGCCGAGCGACTATTTCCTGTAATGAGCGATGGGACTCTTTCAAGCATCGGTACGGTTTGGGCTCTAGATGTACACTAGCACACGGTTGAGATATCCATGACTTGTGAATGAATGGCAACGCATGATGGTTGATTGGGTAGCTGGCATTCCTGTCGATGAGGGTGTAAAGTGGCCAAAGCCTGCTGGCGACGAGTCCGAACGGAATCCACGTACATGCAAGTGGTGGCGTTCTGGAGACTGACCGTCGACAATGATGGGCGTCGAGCTCCACCACAGAGACACGACCCACCAGGACCTGCGTGACTGACATCTTTTGACCTTTGCACCTCGACAACGTACACGAGTGCCTGGTCCCACCGCGAACTACAGAACCAAACGATGCCTTGAATCTGAGAGGTCCTTTGCGCCAAAACGGTCAGATATGCCCAAGCCGCGGCAAAGACAAATCAACCCCATCCAGGCGGCAGTGGAGCGATGGACGGCCACCCTCGACGCTGAGGGCTCTGACAAGTCGCAAGCATGGCGCGAGTCTCTTGTCAACGGTGCCCCCAAGCGCTTCACGATCTACGAGCCCATGGCGCTGCTGCCGTCCGGCAGCTTCACTACCCCGCCCTGGGCCGTGGAGCTGGCGCGCCAGGATGGTGACACGCTGGAACGCCTCTGGAGGCTCATCCTGGAGGAACTGTCCAAGAACGCCAAAGCCACGCTAACGAACCTCGCGGTCAACGAGGGCATCCCGCTGCAAAGCGAAGGCGGCGACGCCGAGAACGTGCTGCGCAGCCCGAGCGGGCTGAAGATACTGTTTGGGGACTTTGGCCCTGCACAGCCGGCGCACGATCCGCCGTCGGCCGCGGACTTTGACGCCGCCTTCTGGGTCTCGACGAAGCAGAACGGCATCTACCAGACGTGGGCGCCGCGATGGACCATGTTCAGCCGCGGCAACGTTAAGGAGAAGGCCCGGCTGCTCGAGTTTCCGCGTGCCAAGGCGGACGGCGACGACGTCTGGGCGCTGGACCTGTACGCGGGCATTGGGTACTTTGTCCTCTGCTACGCGGCGCTGGGCATGCGCGTCATGTGCTGGGAGATCAATCCGTGGAGCGTCGAGGGCTTGCGGCGCGGCGCGCGGGCCAACGGACGGAGCGTGAGGGTCGTGCAGGGCTCGGAGGACCTGGCGCGGCCGACGCTGGACTGGGTACGGTCCAGGCGCGGGGAGCTAGATGTCAGTGGCGGTGACGACTACGAAGACATTGTCGTGTTCCTGGAGAGCAACGAATACGCCGCGAGGAGAGTCGCTGAGGTGCAGGAAGCGGCTGCGGTGCGGGAGGTACGGCATATAAACTGCGGTTACCTGCCGTCCAGTGAGCCGACATGGCGGCCGGCATGGGAGATGGCGCGTTGGAGCCGCGAGACGTGGCTTCATCTGCACGAGAACGTCGGTGCCGCAGACACGGAGGCGAGGCGGGAGGAGATTCAGCGGCGCTTCGTGGATTGGAGCGAGACGGAGGGCCGCGACCGGTCGGCTGCTGTAGAGCACGTGGAACTGGTCAAGACGTTTGCGCCCGGTGTGTGGCACTGCGTCTTTGATGTATATATAAAGAGGATCTAAACGTACATGCCATGGCGGTATCTGGCCACCTATGTACAAGTCTCGTAACCGGCGTGGCACATTGCAGCCGACATCCCCCCCATCCAGCGCCTATCCAACAACGCCAATGACTGCCTGTATCTAATCATGCCTCATCTAATGTTGCCTGCGGAACTTGAGGGGAATGTTCTCCTCGATGATGGACTTCTTGTCCATGGCCTCCTGCTCCTCGCGCGCGCGCTCCAGATCCTCGTGGTGCTTGAAGTGCTCAATGTCCTCGGGGTGCGTCAGGTCCTCGAGCTTGGTGTTCTCGTCGTGGTACTTTTCCCAGTGGTGGATCTCGTACTCGTACTCGTCGTCGCCGTGGTGGCCGGGCCCGGTGCCGAGGTCGGGCAGGGTCTTGCCGGCGGCGACAAAGGCCTTCCACTCGGCGCGGCTGACGTCGCCGTCGTGGTCGGTGTCGAGCAGGTGCAGCAGCTCGCGCGTGATCTCGTCGCGGCGGTCGAGCGAGACGTGCTTGTTGGACTGGTCGAGGAGGCCGTAGGTGCGGTGCAGCTCGTCGGCCTGCCAGGTGTCGTCGGCGTTGTAGTCGTGGAGGGTGAAGAAGGAGTCGGCGTCCCAGCTCGACATGTGGTGCTCCTCTGCGACGGGGCGATTGTCAGCAACAGCAGACACAGACGAACGCGCAATCGCGCGAGCGCGTCTCATGGCGGAGAGCAGCGTGGGCAGATGCGCTCGAAAGATTAGGGGTCAGAGACACGTACCAGCCATGTGTTTCGTCATCCAGTCGGCGTTCTCGTCCACCATGGGCTTCTGGAGGTGCGACCCCGTCCGGGCGTCGTGGGCGAGCGCCAGGCCCGCGAGGGCGCACAGGGGGGAGAGGATGGACGTGCGCATGATGGCGAACCGTGGTCCTTGGGGCGATTGGCGGCTTGGCTGCAATCAATTGGGCGTCGCGGAGGTGCAGTCAATGCCGGCGTGATGTAGTTGAGTGAGGACACCTCTTCCGGGGTTGCGTTCCGGCGTCCACGTTGCGCTCAAGTGACGGAACGGATCTGCCTCGACTGCCACGCTGACGGAACGACCCGTCAGATCAGGGAGGCCCGAGTGCCAGGCAACTCGGTGCAAGATGCGGAATTGGCTCCGGTGGGGTCGCGCGGGCTTACTCCTGAGCAATGGTGCCCTGACGGGTCGCGCGACCGTCATCCCCTGAAGCAGCCAATACATACATGGTGCTTATGCTCCCGTCCGCTGTGCTTGTTAAACCCGGAACAATTGGTGTCGATGCCATGACCTTTGCTCGGGGAACTCGCATGTCAACAGACATCGGAACATATGCAGAACAGCGGAGGTTAAGGCGGTGATGCAGGGCGGCACGAGAACTCTGATCTGCCTCGCCCAATTCGGCCAGAGCGTCCAGTGGTGAGAATACTGAGGGGCTTGCAGCAACCTCTTCCCGCCCGTCCTGCCAGAGCCCATGATTCACAGACGAGCAGCGTTCCTTGTCGACGGCTCCCCAAGCCTCGAGACCTCCAAAATAGGGGACGATGTCGGGCTCTGCATCATCCGTCGGCGACGTCCGGGACGGCGGCTCCGTGTACAACACGAGTGAAGCTGCGACGGCGCTCATGAACGCGATATTCGCCCAAGATGTCAGTCAGGTCGAGGCGCTCTTGACGCGAGACGCGACGCTGGCCAGCGCATTCGTGACTCACTCCTACAAACCATGTGTGGACGATGACGGACGGGACGAGCTGGCCTCACGCCCCCGGACGGAGCCCGCCTCGCCGCGCCCCCGAACGGAGCCCGTCATCGTTTTCACGGGTAGGGTGCCGCTCTACTTGCGCCGTCCGCGACAGACAGGCGGCCGAGACGCGTCGACGCAGATCCTCGCCATTGCAAAGCTGCTGGTCGACTCGGGCGCTTCGCTTCGCACAATACCGGACGCGGCTTACTGGTCAGAAAGAGCGCTCATTGACGTTTGCGCCGACTACGATAGCCCGGAGATGATGCATCTCCTGCTGCGCGCTGGGGCTAGGATGCCTCGCACCACCGAGGTTTGGTCAAGGACGGGCGGATTCCTGGAACACGGCCTTGTGACCGGCGGCATTGGCTACGTGGCCGGCTGGAACGGGCATGTAAGAACCGTCCAAGCACTTTTCGATCTCGGCTTCAAGTTCACGCCCCTTTGAGCGCGAACGGCTCGATTATCCCCTCGCGTTCTTAGCTGGGGGCGAGCTCCGCCCTGGCGGCGGATGTTGCATGTCGGCGCTGGCAATCGGCTACGGCCATCGAGATGTCGTCGCTCTTCTTCTGCGCCAACTTGACGAGGCCGAGCTTCGACAAACCCTCTCCCCCGGGGAGTGGCCGTGGAACCCAACCATAATCGATGCGTGGCTCGTCTGTGCGGTGGCCAAGGTCTGGAGCAAGGGCGAGACCGAGGCTTGGCCCTGGGAAATGCCACAGGTGCTCGCTCAGCGCGAGGAGATTGTGCAAGTGCTCCTCGATCATGGCGCCAACCCGGCGGTGGAGCAAGAGTTTGCCAATTCCTTGCTGCTTTGTGCCTGCCAATGGGCGGGCTCGTCAGTGATTGAGCGCCTCATCGCGACCACGGCAGCAGACGTCAACACTCGCCATGCTCATACTGACCACTGGGAGCGGCCTCGGGGCGGCCGCCAGGTGACGGCGTTGCAGCTGGCCGCGACGCACCAGAACCTGGCTGTCGTCAAGAGCCTCATCGCCGCAGGCGCCTCCGCCCAGCTGACGGATGAGAACGGCCGCAACGCGCTTCACTGGGCCCTGATGGGCCGGAGATGTCATGTCGGAGCGGAGGTCCGCCGCTGCCGCAGCGGCACGGACGACTGCGAGACAGCCGTAGTCTGGTCGCGGCCCCTGGACATCATGGCCGAGCTTCTGCCATGCGTGACCGACGTCAGCGTGACGGATAGCTTTGGGCGGACGGCATTGCACTATGCGGCCAAGTCGTTTCTCTGGGACGCCATGGCGGTCTTGATACGTAGCGGAGCCGACGGCTCGTTGCGAGACTCTGACGGATGCACGGCCGTCTTTTACATGGCGAGGACCGCGCCTCTACAGTGGATGCTCACGGCACTCCGCGACTCATTCGACGACGACATCCCCCTCTCGGAAGGCTATCGCCTAGGCCTGCGCCTCCTCGGACAGCAGCTACGAGACTCCAAAGCCCCGATGGGCCTTGACCTGCGATGCTTAGGTGGCCAGACGGCCCTCATTGCAGCCTGCCGCGAAGCAAACCTCCCCATGGTGGAGATGCTGCTGTCGCTCCATGCGCAGGTCAACATCGCCGACGACGAGGGCCAAACGGCGCTGCCTCACGCCGTCATCTCGGCGTACGAGATCGCCCCTTCTTACCGGGAAGCCGCGGCGCGAACCGAGGAGATGAGGCGGCCGCTACTCGACGCCGGGATCGACGAGTCCATACGCGACCATGCGCGGAAGACGGCGGCGGATGTGGAGAGCGAGCTGGAAGCCAAGTACCGGCCGAATGGCGACCGGAATCGTCTTCAGTATAAGCCGAGGAGGAGCATGGCCCACTACGAGTTCTAGCTGGGCCATGGTGTAAGTTACTTTGGCTGACGACCCGTGGCGGGCACGTGTCCCCCAATATCGATTATGCCGACTTCTATCATGTAGATTGACAAAAACGTAGATATGTTCTGTTTTGTCTCGACAAAGAGAACTTCTCATTGAACTGAGAGCCCCGCAAGCGGCTCTCTCGGCAAAGATGCATGATGGTAGGAATAAGGTGTTGAGGAGGCCAAGTACAGGACTCTCCCCTTCGCATACAGAGTACGCCCTTACGCTGACCCGAACCGCCAAAGTTGGCGTCTGACGGTGATACTTGGATCTATAAACCATCAACGTTAACGAACCATAAATCATGAACGATACCCAAACAGTGAACCGAGTCAGCCTATAACTATAAACATAGCAGAATGAACAGGCGGTTCTCTGCCCTTCTCTCGCGTGTCCGCGACTGCGATCGATAGTTCTCACCATGGGCTCCGGGGGCGGGAACGTACGCTAACGCATGCCGTGAGACGAACCAGTTTCCCGGCCTCCAATCTGCAGGAGGAACCTGGGACTGATCGACGGCAACCAAGCTTTGGTCGGGCGCTCTCATGTCTGTCTCGCCGTGCTCCGACAGCAGCCTGCCTTCCCCTCCCCCTGCCACCCCACCATTCCCCGTCTAGTAGTGAGGATGAGAGCACGAACGGTCCCCGGGGGGGCAGGGCCAGAAGCGCTTTTGGCCCAACGCAGCTGACGGGACCTTGCTCGACACTGCCTTAGCCTCTGCACAGCAAGCGTCACGACGTCATTGCGCCAAGCTCAATCGGCGGAGTGACCTGGCATCTGACAGCTGCCAACTGCCTCAAATAGAAATGACCGAAGTCCACATGCAACTATGCTTTATGTTACGAGACGATGGCCCGTATCAGTTGGCCAGATTCCCTCCCGCCTTCACCTACATCCTGGCCATCTGCGCCCGATGACGTAGATCGGGGATGAGGCGGTACGCGCCCCTTGTTGATGGACAGCCGCTGGATTTGTTTACTTCAGTCACTTCGCATCTCCCAGTCTTCCGCTCCTCTTATCAGACCGAGATCCCTTCCCAGCGACTGCAATGGCGTCAGTAACATCGTCCACGCCGTCGACGCAAGCATCCACAGCTGCGTCGCGCACGACAAGCAGGAGCAGGACCGTCAGGCCGCGCCAGGTCATCGCACCGCTCACGACAACATTCACGCCTGCTCCGGAATGCAGCCATTGGACAGACAGTGGGCCCGGTCGGATCACCAGCGGCACGTTGTCTGCGCAATGCGTGGCCTTCTACTCCATTGTCGTGTGCAACTCGCAGACGACATCGGCGCCGCCGTGCCTTCCTACTGGTTCTACATTTGAGACAGTCTATGGCGCGTTCTATTCCCCAGGGCTCTTTTGTCCGTCGGGGTGGCAGCCAGTGGCCTCTGTGACGGCGGGCGACAAGGGCGACGAGTACGGGTTTAAGAATGCGATGCGCGTGGATGCCCTGCTCCCGGACGAGACCGCGGTTGCATGCTGCCCAAGGTGCGAATTCATTTCTCAGTAACGTTTGACAGACACTAAGCAGATCCTCCGAGTGGCAGCAACTACGCGTACTTTCCCATCGTGGATGCCGGAGGCGCGAGTGGCATCTGCACCAGCAACGTCGTCACCAATCCCGTGTCGTACAAGTCTTGCGTGCCCTCTTCCTTCTTCCAAGAAATCACCCGGTCTGATATCGGCGAGTACATTACCGTGAACTATACCCAGCAGCGCAGCCTCAACAGCGACTCGAGCACTCGCGTCTGGTTCGCAGGCATTCAAGTCATTGCGCCTACAGTGCAGATCAATCACCGGCCGCAAGACCGAAGCCTGGCACCCACCTCGTCGTCGCAGTCCAGCGTCCCCACGAACGGCACCTACAGTGGAGGGGCCGGTGGTGGCATCCAAGGCTCAACGACAGCGACGCTCAGGGCAGGCGGGATTGCGGGCATAGTGATTGGAGTTTGTGCATTCGTGGGGGGCTTGCTCCTTTTCTCGATATGGGCATATAGAAGACGCCGAGCTAAACAGGCAGAGGCCAAGACGCCACACATCGAAGATAGCGGCAACGACGCCGGCTATGCCAAGCCGGAGCTGGACTCGGCAGAGCAAGCAAGACCAGAACTGGAAGATTCAGCCAGACTTGAGCTTGATGCTGCCACAAGCCACCCCATTGTGGAGCTGGAAGGGGACAACACACGTCCCCGTAGCGAGCTGCCGGGCCATTGAGGAGAGATGCGAGCAAGCAAACGTCTCGCGTTGTCACATGCTCTCCTACGTGCCTGGACCGGCACGCCTCTTTCAAACGTTGAAAGCATTCCTTGCATGCGCATTGTCGGCCGCCGTGACGTCCCCAATTCACTCGAAATCGGTTCTGTTGCGTGTTACAGGTCCCGTCGCGGTCTCCCCCAGATCAACTCGACGGAAGGCGGCGGACAACACCTCAGGTCTCCCGAAAGAGGGCGTGTAGAATTGTAGGAAACTAATGGATCACAATCAGCTTTTGATGCCGTTACCAAATTGGGACAAGAAACCTACCACCGTCGCGGGGAACATCGCGGGTGGCTTGTGGCAGGGCCAGTAACTATGGTGGTGCTGAGCTCCTGCAGAAACAGAAAGGGTTGGCAGTGCTGTGGGGCGCGGAATCGGGCCGCTGTCTGGTCCCTAAAATGACCACCTAACGCGTCGACCTCCCGCTCTAGCTGCCGCGCCGCGCCGCGTCTGTGAAACTCTGCCCTCGACCTTACGTCCCTCTCCAACAATCGTCGCACTCGTCTCGCGTCAGCACCTCCTCCAGGATGAGCAAACAGCTTGAGCTGGCGCTGCTCTCGCTGATGCCGGCACACGGCTCAGAGCTCCCCCCGTCGCTCGTCGAGCTCGCCGGGTCTCTGCTCGCGCAATCCCGCAACAGAGCCAGCACCCTCAAAGCCGAAGAAGAGGTGGCTCGGCACTATGCCTGCGCCAACATTGCCTGCGACAGGTAAGCCCTCTGTGATCGAGTTCTCGAGTGGCCATGGGTATCTAACTGGGGACTGCGTATAGGCTGAAAATTACCCTGGACCTCCCTCCGATCGAGCCCCGGCCGCCCATCCCGCCGCGCATCTACAAGCGGCTCTACACGCACCTAGACAACATCTTGCCCAACACTTCCATCACGCCGCGGTCGACGCGCACACGCACTCCCAGCTCAAAGAAGCGCGACTTGGGCGCCTCGCCCGCATCCAACTCCCGCCAGCTGCCGTCAAGAGGCACGCCCAGCAAGGAGTCCAGCTTGGCGCAGTTTCGGCCGTCACAAGCCGGCCAGGAAACAACACCCTCCAAGTCGACTGCCTATAAAGACGCCCTCGCCTCCAACGAGGGTCTGCACCCATGGATCCGCCATACTATTCGCTACCTGTGTAACGAGATGGGAAACCGAAGACTGGCCCCGACTGTATTGGCGGGCGTCGAGTCCATCGTCGCGCCTGCTGGACGGAGAACAGACGATGCGTGGGTGAGCAAGCACGTCGCGGACTTGGTCGCCACGATTTACTTCTTCGTCATTATGCGTGTTCGAGCCGTGACTTCTGGGGAGGCCATTGACCGCGAGGGCTACGTCCCTCTACGGAAAGAGATTCTTGCTCTTCTAGGTCAGGCACGAACCGACGTCGCGATCAAGGACATCAACGAGAGCGAGGCATGGGGCGGCTGGAAAGCCATCAAGTCGAGAGAATTTGACGCAGCGGTGGCGCACATCAACGAGACGGATTGGCTCGCCGGCGACTGGTACAAGGGCATCACGGACGTGGTCAATACGACACGAGAGGCCGACGACGGCATGGAAGACGAGGGTGGTGACGACGATTCTGGGGCTCCGCTGCCTGCTCGGCGCGCGGACACGATGCTGCAAGAAAAATACGACTTCTTGAGCGACGCACGGATGTCTGACTACGCCGCGTGGAAGGATCAGATGCTGGCGAGGATTGGACAAGCCATGGCAGCCGGCGGCGCCATGGAGGTGGATTCCTGAGGAACGACGCCAACACGAACGGTGTACGACTGCGTGTGCGACGGGCTCATTCAATAATTTTGGCTCTCGAGACCTAAGCTGATCCCGACTATTGAGTCCTCGGGTTACACTGCCTCCAGAACCAGCCCTAGAAGACCAGCCCCAGCACGCTATTTACAGAGCTCAAGGCGAAGATACAGTCGGGCAAGCGCGTCACATATTGCAAAACTGAGGGTCGGGCAAGTCCTCACCGCCGCCGGGGTGCCAGTGGGCTGCGGGCGTGCGGCACTCGTTGTAATCGGCATCAGGATCGAGGCCGATGGAGAGGAAAAGCAGCAGCCCGTCTTGGGGCTTCTTGCCCAGGTAGACGTGCTTGACAAGGGGGTCATACTGAGGCGTTGCCTGGTCGCCGGCGAAGAAGTCTTGGAGGTTGGTGGTGCGGCGCGCCGGGTTGCGACGGTACGGCTCGGTGGCCTCGACCGCCTTGATGACGGACTCGTCGAAGTAGGTCTGGCCGATGTGGCGGACGGTGCCGCCCTCAAAAGTGCCATTGGGCAAGACGCGGGCATGGTCAGTGGACATGACGTGGATGTGGGTGGCGCGGCCTTCGTAGTGGCCCGGGAAGATGGTGTCGAACTGCACGACACCGTCGGCGTCGGTCTTTTGCACGCCGCGACCATAGGTGGTGTCGAGGCCGCCCTGGCCGGGGGCCGAGACGCCCGAGTAGACGCCCAGGGCGTTGCAGTGCCAGATGTCGATGAGCAGGTCGGGCATGGGCTTGCAGGTGCGGATGTTGATGAACTGGTAGTCGACGTGGGCGCGCACGCCCTTCTGGCCGTCGGTGATGTCGGAGCGGATGAGCTCGCCCTCGACGTAGTAGGGGCCGATGATGGTCTCGGGCACCAGGGCGCACGTCGTGTTGGACGAGAAGAGCGTCTTGGCGGGCGTGTTGAGGTTGTAGCCCTTGTACGACATGTCGTGCGAGAGCCCGTTGTAGTGCTGGAACCACTGCCTATCTCGCTTGTCTATAGACGGACAACTCGTTAGATCATCACATCAAGTCATATCACCCCCGCCGCCCTCTGTGGTCTGCTCCGTCCGCTTTTGTCTCTCTGACATAGCCAGGTAGAAGAAAGAAAGAAAGGGAAAGGCTCACCCTTGTTGAGGCCATACTTTGCGCGCAGCTCCTCCGCCTTGGCAATGCGGCGGGCCACGGCGCGCTCCTCCAGGGCGCGCGCCTCGGGCGAGTCGGCGCAGCGCTCAAGCGAACGCCTCGTGTGGGCGATGACACGGCTCCGGGTCTCGAGGTAGGCCTTCTTGTCCTCCTCGGAGCTGGGGTGGCCGAGCACGCCGGCCACGCAGGCGAGCAGGGCCACGAGGGTCGTGGCGAGGGGCATGTTGCTTTTTTTTATTTGGTCTCTGTCACAGCCTTGGTCGTCTTTGCCTGGGGCTGTCTGTGTCTAAGAGTATATCTATATCTTTCTTCGGCAAGTTGGACGGGGGGAAGTAGACGGACTCTTTTATACTTGTGCAACACCCGCCCTCCCACATCCCGTGGTCGGGCGTCCTCCTCGCCCCCTCTGTGACAGCCATATTCCCTGTTTTCCTCACTGTCCCTACCCCCCGCTCGCTGTCTTTCTCCCGCGAAGGACGAAGACCTGTCGTGCACTGGCGGGAGGGGGCGCGCGCGCGTTTCCCTTCTTTCTCAAAGTAGCAGCCGCGAGTTGCAAACCGTGGTCGACTGCAACATCCGAGTGGGAGGAAGGGGCCTGTGGCCTGTGGGAGAGCCGCGATCTAAAAAGGCCGCCGTCTGCTTCGCCGCTGCTCTGGCGCGGGTAAGTATCCACGGTTGGCGCTTGGGTGCCGCGCATGAGTTGCCCGATTGCGTGCGAGCTCGCTCGATGAAATGGTGGCTTTGATCGGCGGAGGATGTGGGCTGAGAAAGGGGACGCTGGGGCGACCCTTGTGTGTTGCTCTGCCGTCTCTCTCTCTGTCTTTCTGTCTCTGGACCCTGACGCTTCTCTCCCAGTAGGGGTTTCTTCCTCTATCCTTTCTTTAAACAAACCCTGTTATATATCGTGGCCTCGGCATCTAAAACCCCGAACGCGGCTCTTCTCGATACCATTGTCAGGGGGAAGATCTGACTACTACGAGATGAGCCTGCATATGCCAAAAGTAATACCGGTTGACAGCAGCCCCCGCCGTCCGCCTCATTCCGAGTTTACAACAAGAAACCAAACAGGTCCACGTCCCGGGCCTTCCCGCTGAACGCTTTGGCCGCCAAAAGTTCCCACTCTCCGGACAACACATCACCGCCCATCACGGACGAGGAGGAAGGGAAGTGGAAACAAAACCTGCCATCGTGAAACCAGGCGAGGACCCAAAGGAGCAGGTGGGCTGTTGCCCGCGCGGCCTTGGCATGGAGAGAGAGGGAAGACATGCAAGCAAGCAAGCGGGCAGACTGGGGATTCCCTGGGCGGTTCGTGATGGCGGCAGGGCCGTGCGGAGGCGGGGACGGGGAGGGGCGGGCAGGCGGGCGGCAGACAGGGGAAGAGAGGAACAACAGCCCGGTAGTGGTTGAAATAGGCGTCGTATGTGGCGAGCCAAGCAAAAGCCAAGCGAACCAATGCGCTCCGGCGGAGAGAGAGAGATACTACGCGCCGGTCGATGAGGTGGCAGGAGAGAGGCTCTCAGGATGCGACTCCGCGGTGGGATGCCCGATGGGCCGACCGGGGGTTGCGGTCGGGGAGTTTGTGGTTGTGGGTGGGCGGGCAAGCATTATGCTTGATAATGCGCAACGACGCAATGGCTATTGGCTCGATGATACCGCCGGGGGGGGCGCAACATGCAAGGAAGAGAAAAGGCCGTTCGGGCATTTGCTTGCTTGGTGCCGCTCAGGGGTCGCGGAACTGGGAACTGGGGTAGTTAACCAGATATGCGGAATTGCGGACGAGATGTAGGGCGCCCTCTTTGATTCCCCCCACGGATGCTACGCTCAAGGTTCGCTTGACAGACAGGCAGGCAGGTTGACCAGACAGACCTGGGGCCCGGCCTCGCTTACAATGGTCAAGTCTGCTTCATATCGCCCGAGGTAGGTCGACGGGTAGGTGACGTAGCATCAGCGGGATGTGGTGGCGCGATGGACACGGGGGCGGGTAGTGTCGGTGCTCGCTCACTATCTACAATGGCTAGGTATGTATGCATGCATGCTACATGAGGCGCGGAACCCTTACTCTCTTCTCGATCCAGTGTTTGTCCATATCCAAGCCCATTCGCAACGCATATGCTCGGCACCACCCGCCCTTCGCCATAGTCGTCATGAGCAGGTCAGGTCAGGTCATGTCTGGTCAACCTGCCTGGCTGGAATGGAATCTTAACCCAGACGGCCGGGCACATAAGGGTGACCCGCACTCAGGCCGCCGTCGACGGCCCAGGCCTGGCCGTTGACGTAGCTGCTCTCGTCGCTGCCGAGGAAGAGCGCGACGCGAGCAATCTCATCGGCGTGGCCGCCGCGCTTCGTCGGGTTGAGCTGGCCAATCTTCTTCTCGCTGCCGCGGGCGCGGGCCGCCTGGTAGACGGGCGCCGTCATGCCCGTCTCGATGAGGCCCGGGCACACGGCGTTGACGCGCACGCCCGTGCCAGCCAGCTGGTACGCCAGGGTCTGCGCCAGGGACACGACGGCCGCCTTGGACGCCGAGTACGGCGTGGACCCGGCGTTGGACCGGATGCCCGCTACCGACGCCGTGCCGATGATGCTGCCGCCCGGCGTGGGCTTGTCCGCCGACGTCTTGCCCATGGCAGGGGCGGCGTACTTGGCCGCGAGGAAGACGCTGGAGGAGACTCGGTCAGTCTCACGCGGCAATACAGTAACGATGTTGTCTCTACATGTGCGAGTGCGAGGGTTTGAACAGAGCCTTACCTCAGCGTGTTGGTCTTGAGCACAGACATGAAGTCGTCGGCGCTGACATCGGTGAAGATGACGTTGGGCCCCGTGATGCCCGCGTTGGCGAAGAAGACATCGAGGCGGCCATAGCGGCTCACGGCGTCGTCAACGACGGCCTTGACCGCGGCCTCGTCAGCGGCATCGAAGCGGCGCGCATGGACCTCGACGCCCGGAAACGCGGCCGTGATGTCGCGCGCGTGAGACTCGAGGTGCGTGCCGTCGTAGTCACACAGGTACAGCGCCCTGGCGCCGCTCTCAGCGAACTGGTGGGCCGAGGCGCGCCCGATGCCCAGGGGCGAGTTGGCGCCTTTTTGTGGGTGAGGTCAGTCAGTATTTCATGGAGAAGACGAGTCGCAAAGAAGACGCGTGTTGCGCATGGGATGTGAGAAAAGGGGGGGTGGCATCTTTACCCGTGATGATGACGACCTTGCCCTGGGCGCGCGGCGCGCTGGAACCGGCGGCGACTCTTCGGATGGGCGGCAGGCCCGAGGGCGGCGGCTGGAGCTGCTGGCCGATGGCCTGGATGCGGCGCCCGGCTTGCTGGTCGGCCATGACGGAGGTTCGCTGTGGTGACGACTGTTGGCGACTGCTGACGACGAGGTGGGCGCCCGACGATGACGCTGCTGCCGCTGTTACTCGGTGCAGTGCAGTTGCACGAGGTGGACGGCTACCGAGGAGGGCGGCGCACGCTTGCTTGCAGATACGACGTACAGACAGACAGACAGACAGACACGAACGAGGGGGTTTAGAGAGTAAATGTATACGGGGGGCCGTCGCCGTCGTCTGTTGGTGTTGATGATGATGAGGGGCCTTCGTCCGTCAAAGGTTCGGGACTCGGTAGGTCGTCAATTTACCCCGGAATTGAGATCCGGAGCCGAGGTTCGAGGCCCGCCAGCGCGCCCAGGCCTGTCTCTTATACACATCTAGATGTGTATAAGAGACAGGCCCTGAAGAGTGGAGACCTTCAGTGGCCGGGGGCCTCCAGCTCCAGTGGAGGTTTGTTCGGCTCCGCGGCGGGGAGGGGGCGGGCACTCGGCCGGCGGCCAGCTATAAACGCTGTCAAAGTGATCTCAGCAGTCAGCACCTCGAGTGCCCTGAGCAGTGAGAGCCCATCGAGGCCGAGGAATGGAAGCTAGGTGACGAATCACCGCCCGACGCGATGGATGAGGAATTAGTACATCCTGACTCTGGTACTGCACTATAAGTATGTAGTACTCTTCACAGAGGAAACATTCAGAGGCCAGTACCTGCACCCGCATACGAGCCAAGGTACGCGCACATGAGGCATGCCGCCATGCCACCACCGGCTCGCTGCTCACGTCACCTTGTACGGGACCGCCCGCCTCTCCCGCCAGCCGAATGGGAACTCTGCCGCCAAATCGTGCATATGCACGCATGCATCTCCTCACCGGCTTTTGCACACATGGTTGTCGTGGCCTTGATTTGCTGCACTAACATTGCCTACATCCTCGACCCGCGCGCGTGTAAGCCATACCGGACCAGCTCACCATTAGATATTACAACACCACCCTTTCGTGGATTCCGCACGGCCAACCACCATCCGCAGGGAAAAGCAGCACAACAATCAACCAGACCAGGCACACTCCCGTTTCATTTTGCCCCGTGTCGATCCCTCCTCCTCAGCCGGTCTGGCTCACAGACTCCCTTAAGCTGGATTCTGCACGGCCGGCGTCGCGCTCGCATCTGTGCCTCCGGTCCCAGGGCGCTCCTTGGACACCGGAGGGGGTGTGATATACGAGTCGTCGCGAGACTCGGAGAAGAGAACCACTTCGATGATCACATTGATGAGCAGGAAGAAGCTGTGCCCATGGCGTTAGCAAGGCATCGCCGAGCCGCACGACCTGAGCCACACTCACAACGCAATAAAGTTGAAGGCCTCCACCGTCCTCTTCTGCGCGCATCTGCCTGTGCCCAGCGGCGTCTGAGAACACAGCCGACCACTCCAGTCCTGCGACGAAAAGATGAAGGACGCCAGCCACAGGTACGAAAAGATGAAGTTGACGGGTGCAAAGTAGCCCCGGTACGTCTTCATGATCGGCACGAACATCGCAAACATGTATATCACCAAGGTGATGACGGCCTGCCAACGTTTCACGGTAAGCTCATCAAGCCATGCCAGCCAGGGACAGTAGCACGTACGATGACCTCCTGGTAGACGACGCGGTAGCCCCGGAAGGCCCACCTGTCGAGAAAGGCGGACACCAGGCCCGTAACAATCACCGCCGACGCGAAAACCATGAAGTGGCAGAACGCTGCCAGCGCTCGCAAAGTTCCGTGAGCCATTTCTGTCTCTTTTTTTCTGTCTGGTTTGTCGACTAAACGTTCAACTGGATGTCTGTCTGTTGGGTATCACGGTGCGTGCTTTACTCTGTGTCGCGCGCACACCATCGGGACTGAGAGCATCGCGCCCAGGGCGCTTTCATATATTCATCTTGAGCGAGCAGGCAACTCCTCGTGCAATGATGTAACAATGTCGTAACCGCTGCACGCCGCATCAGCTGTTCCTGCCCCATGAGGCAGGGGAGCAATCAAGCCAACACCTGTGCTCCTGTGGTCCAGACCGAAACCGACTGTCATAGCAGTTCATGAGAAACGGCACGGAGCCAATGGTCAGAACGGACAGACGCCGCCGTAGGGCCCAAGGTTCGCGGCTGAGCGTTGGCGCGGCTCGCCCGGAGAAAGCTTGTCGAAGCTGTAAGAGCTGTTGGAGCAGCAGCGTCCCTAGCTCGTAGTATGGCAGGTCAGGATTCAGCCCGTGGACGCCTTTCCAATGTCCACCATTGCGAACCTGTTGGGCCCTTTTTGCTTAACGCCACCAGAGCAGAGGGCCTTGTGACATAGCGAGGACGGGACCCTTCACTACTAGAGTAGTAGAGACCCCCATTTACCCGCCCGAGCCGGTCGTCCTCGACAAAAGTCAAATCCGTGTGGTGCGATTGGGGGCAGGGCCCGCGGCAGGCTGTCCAGCCTGGGCAATCGCGCGGTGTGCACGTATTGCTGGCTCGCTTGGATCCTTGGCTGCTGAGTCGAGGGCCAGAGGCGGGCTGCCTGGCGCCAACGGGACCCTCGACGTTCCAACCCGGCGGCGGCGCATGCGCGACGGGACGCTGCATCTCGGTCGCGGCGCTCGTGTCGGGCCTTTGTTGAGGCTCGCCGCCTGGTCACACCGCCGGGCATCGATCGAGTTCTCCGTCGACGACGGCGCCGCGGACAACAATCGGGGCATAGGACTGGACAAGATGACGAGGTACGAATGATGTAGAGGTATCTACAGGCCGTTGCGTCTGGTCTGACAAGGCCTCCCACTCGGGTCGCAAATGTCTCGCTGTCCCCGCGAGGTCGGACGGCGCCCATGCCCTTCACGGTCCGCTGAGACAACTCGCTCGTGCCATTGTCAGCCGCCTGGGCCAATGAGTGAGTGGGCGGAAGCGCAACGGCACCTCGGATGTCCGTCTTGGTGGGCCTCGCTCCCGAGCGCAGTCGACGTATGACCGCCCTGAGGTCGACGGTGATGGGCGCACGTGGCGCTGGAAAATTGAGCACGAAGGCCCTGCACGGCGCGCTGGTGCTTCGGTCTGGGGCGAGGCCCATGCCATGCCACGCCTCCTCAGGGCTGGGAGAGGTGCCGATAACGACGTCGGTGGAGAGCTGTGTTGAGGGCCGGGCCGAGTGCTTTGTACGAGCGGCCGATCGAGTCTGTCCGAGGAGGGACGATTGGGCAATTCGTTCGTCGTCTTTGCCGCCGAGGCTGGAGACGGAAGGCAGCAAACACCCGCCGGCAAGTCGCCTGGTAGGCTGCATTCCTCATGCTCGCTTCATGAAGTGGTTTACGAGGTCCTACCGATGCCGCGGGTAGTGAAGTCTGAAGGAAGTACATAACACCTACGCCTGTCTATGCTGTACTTCGTACCTGCCTCGAGTTACGACGCGCGACTTCCACACATAAACCCGTCTGTGTAGAAGGCAAGCGCAATCGGCAGCTGGTCCTGCCACACAAGCTAGGTACTTTGTAAGATGTACAGCACAGTACTAAGGTAGGTAACTTCCAGGCGAAATAAATGTCGAATACGAGGCAGAGCGTTCTCAGTGACCCCAGGTCCCACGGGCAGGGCCGGGCCCCAGAACCCGGAATGCCCGAGTCCATCCTCCGTGGATACTGCTCGCCCCCTCACTCTCTGCACTCCCGCCCTGGAGGGCTTCTGGCTCCCGTCACACCGCATCCGAGTGTCATCACTTTCTTTCCTCCCTCGTACCCTACCTTGCCAACCTACCCTTGCTCGCCAACTACCTGCCATTGTCAATTGGCTCTGCTCCGCTCAGCGCCTGTACGATACACTGTGCCCGTTGCGCCCTTGGGCCGCCATCCGCCATCCCGACATCACCGGCCTCGCGCGCTGATCGGACGACGCTCGTCACCCACCCGGGCGGCAAATGGGGCACCTTGCCGATGTCGCCGCACCCCTTGCCAGGGCATGCCATTGCCCAACGCCGTTCTCCAGATCGCCGTCGAGGTGCCACACTGCCACCCGCCTGACGTGGCAGCCGGAGCCGCAGCGTCGCTGCCCAGGGGACAAGGCAGGGGGCACGGGAAATGCTAATAATTAAGGCAGTGATCCCCTGTGACGTGAGCTACAGAAGTCGTCCGCCGCCGCCGCCGCCGCCTCCGCTGAGGTGCCGACGAACCACGGCAGCCTCTGGAGGCGGACCCCCTGCCGGGGGCGGGCGCTGCAGATTCCACATGGCTTCGATGCCGGGGACCCGTCCTGTCAGCGGCATCTGGCGCCACCTGGCACGGCCCCGGACGGGAGGGTGGGACCACTTGAAATGCCATCGTCGCTCGATATGACATGAGACCGACTCCCTACCAAAGTACAAATGTGCCCCCTCGGGAGCCCAGCAAGCCGTGTAACCCGCGACTCTCCCGACCAGGCCCGAACGGTTCATGGCACCGCAGCCTCGTCACGCTCGAGTTCTCGACCTTGTCCGTGACCGTCGCGGACCCGTGCGTCGCTGTCGTATGTGGCGCCCGACCGGACGGGTGCCCATGTCCTGGCGCCGTCCGTCAAGGCATCAAGACATGCCATGCCATGCCGTAGCTGTCACCTTGTGCCCGGGCTCTCGTTTCGACAAAGAAGCAGAAGCCTGCTCCTCCTTCGCAGCGACCCTCGTCTGGCCGTTGCCCTTTTATTTTGACGCCTTGTCGCAGAGTTGGCTAAATGGGTCTCCGGGGGCCAACTCTGAGGCTCCCCAGGTTTGACCCTCCATCTCGACTCCTGCCCAGCCTCGGAACTTGCCACTACCGTGGCCATGTCGCGCAGCGCCGCTATACCTGACGTGAAGTGTGCCCCAAGCCGCCGGGGCAACCTGACTGTCGGCGTTGCAGACAGAAATCCGTGTATTGCGGCGTGTCGGCGCCGCCTCCTTCTGGCCGTCTGGTCGCGCAACGAGACGCTTCAAGAGTCGTGCCAGGCGCTTTCCTCAGACACTGCCAACGCCAGTGAAGCGTTCCGCGCCGCATATCGCTGCGATTTCCAATTCTGTGGTGTTCAAAACTGTGCCGGCCGCGGCCAAGATCGTGGGTGCGCTCCGGGGGGATCAGGCCCATGACGCTGGGTTCGGGGCAGCTGACGCTTCATGCCGACACGTCTCTAGCCAACGTCAACTGGCTCATCAACACTTGCTCAAAGTACGGTATCCCTGCTCCTCGCACGTCATTCCTACGATATTTTCTAAGCGTTTATGCAGGCTTGGACATTATTCCCTCGTAGATCCTGGACCGCCGACTGCCATATCCAGCAGTGAATCAACGCCCGCAAATGAGAAGGGTCCGCATCCATGCGGCCGCCGATTGCTCCCAACGCTCTCCAAGTCGCAAGGTCCATATACCCAGCGCCTGCTCAAACGTTCACTGGGACACGACAAGGGCAAGAATTCACCTGGTATGGCCGGGCTGCAGCCTGCAAGTGGCAGCATCTCCACTGCCTCGTCTGCATCCTCGGCCATAACAGGCGTTCCTATCAGGGATCCATCGCTCGCCGCCAGTTTGCGCTCACCAGATATCATAATCGCCGCGAGCCAGGTCAGACGTGACCGCGGTCTGTCCACCGGTGCCAAGATCACCATTGCTCTATCGGCCGCCGTGGTTCTCTTCGTCATCGCGGCCCTCGCCCTCGTCTGGTATCTGCGGTTCAGGCGGCAGGCTCGTCGCGCCCGACTTCATGGCGACAGTAGCAGCAGCAAGGAAGACCAGAGTCGGATTGGGACACACGGGTCCCCGATGCCACTGCTGTCCCCAACACCCAAGTTACCAAATCCAAGCGAATCTCCCCTGAGACCTCCCGCGCGGCTGCGAGACCGCAGATTCCTTACAGCGGGAGGCAACTGGCCACTCACCGATATGGACCTATTTCCACAAGGCGTCGCCGCCGGCGATGAGGCAATGCCTGCGCCGGGTGGGGAGAGAAAACCCAAGGGCCGGCCAAGTCCCTTAAAAACTGGCACCAGATCACCAACAGTGACTACACCTAAAGGAACTGCGAGGGCGGGGAGAGCCTCGTCACGGGATGGCAGCGTTGCATCCCCACCTCGTACGCCTCGGATGCCTCGACAACGGACATCGTTGGACCTATTCGGTGTCGTGAGTCCTGGTCCGCCGCCAAAAAGGGCATTGCCCATGACACCGACGGAGCGAAGTCCGCCGGTGAGTCCATCGATGAGGCGCCAGCGGGACGGAATCGGAGTTGCCATCGGGTCATATTCGCAGATGCCTGGAGGATCTCGCGAGCTGCTGCTAGAGCTGACGGAGGAGCCAGGAAATGAGGCGCATCGCAGTTGGGGGACGTGGAGCGGACGGAGCGGACCGGGGAGCACCGGCCTGGCCCCATCCTCTGTCGCCCCGTCGACGCGAGCACGGGAGTTGAACAGCCCCGTCATGGAGGAGGGGGAGCTCGAGCGTCTAGGTGGCTCGTATAAGTGAGTAATGAGGGGTATTGGGGGTGTCGATAGATGATGACGGTCACGCATAATAGTGGGCGTAAGCAGCGATTCTGGCTTGATTCTTTAATTGAACGACACTTGGTCATCATCTAGCCTGCGGGACCCTTGCCCCCTTTTTTTGCTTTCCTTTACAACCCGTACTTCTTGAGAGACTGCACAACGCCCTCGACGCTGTCCTCGAGGCTCGTCCACTTGATGCCCAGGACACGCACCGTCTCGTCGTTGTTGTACTTGAAGTTCTTGTCCGCGGGGGGCGCCTCGCCACCAGGGACGTCGGGCCCGGGGAGCCGGTCCTTGTACTCGGGGAAGCGCTCGCGCACAATCTCGACGAGGCGGCGGTTGGAGAAGCGCCCGCCCACCGTGTACAGGCGTCGGCCGCCAGCATCCGGCTTCTCCATGGCGAGGACATGCGCGCGCGCCACATCCCGCACATCAACCCAGATGGACACGGGCCCCGTGGCGGGGATCTCGGACGCCCACTTGCCGCGCAGCATGGCGACGAAGCGCTCATTTGAGGTGTTGACAGCGTCGAGGGACGCGACGCCGACGCCGGGGGCGAGGGGGCCGTAGACCATGGGGGGGCAGACGGTGGCGAGGTCGAAGGCGGGCTTCTCGCGGGCGACAAAGTCCCAGGCGGCGCGCTCGGCGAGCGTCTTGGAGACGCGGTAGGCGGTGGCGGGGGAGGAGTGCACGTCGGCGAGCGTGGAGGGGTTCCACGACGCCTCGGAAAAGGTGGTGGCCGGGTCGTCGAGGAGCGTCTCCGTGAGGACGGCGGCGAAGGACGAGGTGACGACGACGCGGCGCACCGAGGGGGCGGAGCGGTGCACGGCGCGGAGGATGGACGTGGTGCCGACGAGGGCTGGGTCGATGAGCTCCGTCTGCGCGTCGGCTATACATCACACATCAAACACCGCCTCTGGTCAGCAAAACAGAGTTCCCCTATCCGTCTGGCCTCCCGCCCGCCGCAAACCAACATCCAGCTACTTGGACGTTCTCACCTCGTGGGGGAGCAAGACCATGACAAAGAACGGGGGAACAGGAAGGGAAGGCAGAACTTACTCCACTTGAAGTGAAACGGGCTCGCCGTGTGCATCACCACCTCGAGCCCCGGCGTGCCCTCCACCACCTTGTCGAAGGCGCCCTCGACGGCAATGTCGCCCACCACGATGACGCTCAGCCTGTCGCCCTTGTCGGCGTGCGCGTCGCGCAGCCGCGCGGCCTTGTCCTCGGAGCGCACCGTCGTCACCACCGTGTGGCCCGCCGCGAGGAGCTGGTCCACGAGGTGCGCTGTTGTTGTTGTTCCGCGTCTGCGTTAGCCATCCGTCGTGGGAAAGGACGCCCGCTTGTGGGGGTTTCTCTGGCGAAGAGGGAGGGAAGGGGGGGAATTGGGCATACCGGCGATGAAGCCCGAGCCACCTGTCGTCGTACAGCAAGTTCCAAGTCAGCACTCGCACATCTTTCCTTTCCTTTCCTCTCCTCGCAAAGGGTGCGGGAACCTGTAGACGCGACGTACCCGTCACAAGAATCTTGGTCATCTTTGTTGCGAAACAAGAACCCAATGGGCCACAAAACACGTCCGCAAGGTCAACTGCTCAAGCTCTCTCCTCAAAGAAATGTACTCCAGCAAGGGCAGCAGAGCGAGGCAAGGCGCAGAGAATCGTGAATCTCGTTGACAAAAACGTGAATCGAATCGAGAGCAGCGGCTTCACGAGCGCACGCAGGCTAACCGGTCCCCCCTCCCTCTTATAAATCGCGGACAGCCTCCCGCCCGCACGCGTACGCGGGCGCCCTCCCCGAGACCCCTCCGAGCGAAAGGTCCTTGACGTCAATTGCACCATAATGGGGACTTTAGCTCGCTAACCCCCCCCTTATGTCCGCGGTGGTGGTGGTGGTCGCTGGTGGCGGCCCTCCCTGGCTCGTCGCATGGTTGGCGTTTGTTGGCGCGGCCGCCCAGAACTGAAACTGGGTCCCAGTCCGCGGGGGCCCCGCGATTGGGGGTCAGCCACGGGGGTCAACAAGCAGCTCAGGCGGCTTCGGACGACACACGGACTTAAATACAGAGAGGCGCCCTGGATCTTGCGATCACGCAAAACGCCATGCATGGCATTCACGTCCTAACTCCGCGAGGCAGCTGGGATGCTTCGGTGTGACTCAAAGGAATAATGCATTGTGATGTGAGCTATCTCACGGCTGACAATTATACACGTGGGATGACCAGAGACACCCACCAAGCGCTGTTCACATATGGTGGCCCAGCAACTTCCACCACTCCTCCCGCAAACACTCGCTTGTCCCCATCGCTGCTTCGCTAGGGGAAAATGACCTAATGCGACAGTTCGTCTGCAAGTAGCATAGCACTGACAAGCTGTAGCCCGACGAGCCTCCGTCCTCCACTGCGGCTCGTCGAGGTGGCCTGAGACATGGAGCCGTCGACTCGGACCACACGCGGCCTGCACCCCGCAAGAGAGGGTCACGGTGGGCAGACCGTACCTAGGTACCTAGGTAGGCTTCTCCGCAGCTTCGCCGCTCGTGCGCCCTCAGTTCGCACCTGACGACTCAGCGGGAGCCGGAGGCGCAGGCGACTCGGGCGGGTGCGGGTGCGGCACTCCGTTCAGCCCCGGCGGCTGAGGGCTGTCGTCCGGGATCGGGAGGACCAACGGTCCCTTGGGCACGATGGTGCGTCCGGGGAGCTTCTCCCCGCGAATCACCAACTCGACTTCGGCCTTGTCGAGAGTCTCATACTCGACGAGGGCCTTGGCCAGCAAGTCCAACTCCTTGCGCTTCTCCGTCAGCAGCTTCCTCACGTCCTCGTACGACTTCTTCATCGCCTTTTGGACTTCGCCCTCGATCACGCTCCTCGTCTCGGAGCTGAGGTTCTCGTAACGGCGGCCGTACTCGACAGGGCCCAGCACGTTGGACATGCCAAAGTGCGTCACCATCATGAAGCTGAGATCGGTTGCCTTCTCCAGATCCTGTGGCTTGTTAGCACTCACTGCTAGCGCACCATTGTTCGCGGAAGTCAACTCACATTGGACACGCCCGACGTCACCTTGTCGTCGCCGTAGCGCATCTCCTCGGCCATCTTGCCACCGAGAAGCACACGGATGTTGGCCATGTACTCGGCAGCGGTGTACGAGTACTTGTCCATTTGAGGGACGTGCGCCGTGTGGCCCAGAGACGGCCCCTTGGGGAGAATCGTGACCTTGTAGAGGCGGCTGGAGCTGTCCTTTTCGAATAGCTGCACCAGTGCGTGGCCTGCTTCGTGGTACGCCGTCATCTCCTTCTCCTTCTCCGTCACCACCATCGACTTCCTCTCGGCGCCCATGGTGACGCGGTCAAATGCCCACTCCATGTCCTGCTTGGAGACCATCGTGGCCCTAGCACGAGACGCTCGGAGGGCGGCCAGGTTGAGCATGTTCTCCAGCTCGGCACCGGAGCGACCAGGCGAGCGTGCAGCGATGGCTTCCAGGTCGACGTCCGGCGCAGCCTTGATCTTCTTGGCGTGATGTTTCAGGATTGCAATGCGACCTCGCACGTCCGGCAGATCAACGTTGATGTGTCGGTCGAAGCGGCCAGGGCGCGTCAGCGCCTTGTCGAGAAGCTTGGGGAGGTTAGTCGCGCCCATGATGATGATCTTGGTATCCTGATCGAAACCGTCCAACTCAGTGAGCAGCTGGTTGAGTGTCTGCTTGGCGTGGGCTTGATCCCGAGGGTTTCGCTTGCCGCCGATGGCATCCAGCTCGTCGATGAAGATGATGGCAGGCGACTTGGCCTTGGCGGCAGCGAACAGCTCACGTACACGCTTGGCACCGACGCCGACAAAGATCTCGTCGAACTCGCTTCCAGACATATAGAAGAAGGGCACGCCAGCCTCGCCGGCGACGGCTCGGGCCAGAAGCGTCTTGCCAGTTCCAGGAGGGCCAACGAGGAGAACACCCTTGGGCAGCTTGGCTCCAAGATCAGAGAACTTTTCGGGGTTGCGAAGGAACTCGACGACCTCCTGGAGCTCCTCCTTTGCCTCGTCGCAGCCGTGGACGTCGCTGAACCGAGTTGTCTGCTTCTCAGCCTTGACCTCGGAATCGTTCTTGGCCCCAGGACCCCGTCTGAAAGTGCTAAGTGTTTCGATCAGGATGGTGACGGCCGCGAAGCAGAGATACGTGACGACGACGAAAGTGGCGAAGAACTTGACCCAGCGGAAGATGAGCGACCGAGTGGATTCCTGGACGACAACATGGATGGGCTCCCCCTTACCGCCCATGGAGTTGGCGGCGGCGCTGTTTCCACCGGCTGCGGCACCAGCAAAGCCTTGGTCTTGACCCGACCATTGGCCTCTAGCATACGAGGTCTGACCGACGGAGCCTGCCGTAGCGTTGGTACCGGCATTGAGGGCGGCCAGAGCCTTCTTGTATGCCTCCTCAGTCGCAGCGTTGGTCGCAAAGCGTCCCGACTGATAACGTTCGACCAGGATTCCAGGCATATTTGCCCGCAGGAGCAACTGATAGAACGCATTCTGCAGATTCGCATTCCCGGGATTCCTGTTTGCCGACTCCTCGACTGTTGCCAGTTGGTTGCGTGAGATGCCGTTCGAAGTGCCGAATCCTCGGTGTTGCATGCCAGTAGCTCGCATATGCAGACCGAGACGAGAGGTAGAAGACATGTTCCGTGACGTGACCATCGTGCTGAAGCCAGAGCGCATGAACGGGCGCGCAAGTGCAGGTGCGGCGGACATTTGCGGCTGAAAGAAGGGTCGTCGCAATATCGGGTTTGCGGCCTGAAGGCCCACGCGGGTCAGGTTCACCACGGCATTCTGGACGCTCGTGGTGGCCATGGCGTTGGATATTTTCGGGAGGAGTTGAGATTGTATGCTGGGAACTTGAAGGAAGTCGGGGACGAGAGGCTTGGCATGCTTGGCCGGCTGCTCAACGCCACGCTGGTCTCTCGCAGACGCAGCCCGATCCGCGCTTCGGGATGGCAGAGTAACGCTTCTCCAGGGAGCGGCGAGGCTGCCTGCGACCGAGGGCCACGCGTCTGTAGCTGCTGCCGCTATATTCTGATGGTCGGACGTGTTAGCATTGCCGGCCTCGAGCAGATAGAGAGTGCGTTCACGGGACTTGACTCACCGGCAGCAGCGCTCCTTGAAAAGCCATCACGGCTTCGGTAGGTGATCCGACGATTCAGTAGAACGCTCCCAGATTTGCGGTATGTCGAAACTCGAGGCAGAAGCGTTCAGAGGATAGAGGTAACACCGGTCGTCGGACGATGACGTTGAGGTCCTAGTGCGGCCCGGTGCGGCGCCTCGTCGGCAGCGGCGCGACCGAGGGGTCCGGGGGCGGGAGCGGGAGGTCGCGCGCAGCAGTGAACGTGTCGGAGAGAGGTGAAGGGAGGGGATCGTCTCGAGAGCGTCTACCTCGCCGTTCGCATGGTGTCGACGCGATGCCGGGGCGACGCCAACTGGTTGCAGGCGTTGATGATGAGGTTGTGCGGTGATGGGGTTCGGGACGGGACTTGCCACTCAACCGTGTCTCAACGCCCCGACATCGTCATGCGTTCGTTTTCTTCGGGCCTTAGTCAGCAGGCTGCACGCGCTCCAAAACGGCGGCGGGCGGCCCACTGCAAGGGCTTCCGACACGGCAGCAGGTCACCTGACCGAAGCACCTAGAATCGCTCGGCCGAGGCCCCAAGCCGGACAGCTGATGAGCGTCGGGGCGGAGACCAGCACTTGCAGCAGCCAACCCAGCGCAGGACGTCCACCTCCGGGCGTCCGGCCACTCGTTCTCCGTTTCTCTCAGCCCAGCAGCAGCCCGGCCCAGTGACCCCACAGATTTATTGATGTCAGCTCGCGGCCACAACCAACGCCGCCCAAACGGTCCGTCTTGATGCACCCAAAGTACATTACATATTGCTTCGTGCTACCGTCGCGACCACTCGCCCCCATTCCAATTGACTCACCTCAGCCCGTTGCTGGGCTCCTCCTGGTCTGTCGGCGGTAACAGGTACTTCGTACTCGAGCAATAACCTAATGTAGCGCTGCTCGCGACAGGCCCTGCCTGGGGCGGATGCACCACCGCCCAGCAAGTCCCGCCCTCCACGCTGCTGCGGACCATGGAGCCTGGTCCGACTCCCAACTGCCGGGGCCAGCCCGAATGGAACCCTGGATTTGCCTGGCCTGGCCTTGGCCTGCTCGGAGTTGCATCGGTGTTTACGCCAGATATACCGGACTGCCTGCCTGCATTGCCGCCGCACCCATACACACTCTTTCCATGCAACCTTGAAAGTGAGCAAAATGTGAGGTGAGGTAAGGGACCGAGTAACTGGCGCAGGCACCGCACCGCGTTGTACCTATCACATCCGCACCGCACCGCACCTCAGTGGGTAGGTAGGTTGCCCTGCAGGGCCACGACCGCCCGAGCCGCGAACGTAGTCCAGCCCAGCCCAGATTGCGCACTTGATGAGGCGTTTGCTGTCTGTTCGCCGATCCGACCCTCGCCTCCGGCTCAGATGCCACCACCACCACCACCCACACACGCCCCCCTTCCCTGCCCTTTCCTTCCCTTCCCCGTCCGGCCCAGCCCAGCCAGGGCCGCCGTCCGCTCACATGCGCTCTGTCGGCAATGACAGGACGCCAGCCAGCCATCCAGCATCCCTCCCCCTCCCCCCACGACAGACAGGCAGGCGGACTGGATGGACATTTCCGCAGTGGAGTCGCACCTCATTGCTGACGCCAGGGACGGGGGCCGTCCCGGGCCATGTTGGTTGGCAGTGGTGGCCGTTGAACCTGGCACGCCCTTCTACACCCCTGACTCGCGCCGATCCGATCCCATCTCACTCTATCTAGGAGTTGGGCCTGGCGGTGTTCATATGACAAGACGATTTTTTTGGCTGGTCGACACCCGAGAGTAATATTCCCTCCACACGCGTAAAATATGCACTAAGATAAATTCATGTTCGTATTTCAGCCCAACAGCCCGGCCCTGACATGTTCGTTGCATCAACTGCTGCACCTCACTGACTTACACCAACACTCTCAACAAACACCATTCGCAATCAATCACACCCTGTTGTGACTCGTACTTGTACAGAACTTTCATGAGCAAGCCAGTTCGCGGGCGCCGTAAACCCCCCCAAGAGAGCCCCCCCTCTCCTTTTAATTGTCATCTCGGCTTTAGCCCTTCCCCTACACGCCCGCCCTGCCCAGTACGAGTAATTCACCCGCCCAAATCACCCAACCCGCACCCCAACTCCACCATATGCCGCCGATCCATGTCCGTCAGATGCCAGCCAAGCAGCCGCCATCCCACAAGTCCCGTCCGCCATCTTGGGTCCCCGTCGCGTGAGACCACAAAACGGCAAGCATCCCCATGGCTGTTCGCAGCGCCCGCCTGGGTTGCGACCTTGCATGACCCGGTCCTGCGGCGCGCTGACCAGGTGTACCCGGCTAAACAAGAGCCGTGGTTGAAATTGCTGTGGGAATCGCAGGCTGCGGCGCGTGCGACAATCGCAATTAAGACTTGTCCCTGTCCATAGAAGGGCACAGCCGTCCGCAAGCCGCCTCTGCGTTGAAATAACATCGTGTACACATTCAAGCCGGTCGCCCCAGGGAATCGTAAAGCAAAAAAGACTATTTTGCGCCAGAATATGACTTATCGGTATTGGGCTTCGCAGCAGCCAGTCATAACGCAACGCCGTGGTGGTATGATGATATCGATGATGTTGTTTGTTCTCGTTGCTGCAGGGGTTGCGGCAAATCACCCCGGTCCCGGCACCGGGGCGAGCGCATCGCGCAGTCGAACGGCGACAAACGCACCCCTCCTGTGGTTCTTTGTCGTCCATGTGGAATATCCACGTTGAAGTGAAGCAAAACATTAAGAGTTGTAAATGCGGAATTAGGTAGTCTTTGATAAAGATAGTTGTACATCGGCCTGCCAGGAAGCCACGGAATTGTACAGCCGGGAAGCGGTCCTCGACGATCTGCAGCCGAGGTCGCTCACATTGTCTCGATGCGGCTGCTGGGAAGCTGCATCGTTGGGTCGTCGAATTCGATCTTCGGGCCCCCGTACAGGTCGTACACCCCTGACCCAAAAGGCGGAAGCTGGCCGATGGTTGCGACCTCTACCGGGGCTTGGTACTGGTACCAAGCCTCGGCTTGCTGCTGTGGCGCTTGTGCGGGCATGTTCGCCGGAATCTGCTGCGAGTATTGCACCATCGGAGGCTGCTGGTCCACAGGTGAAGCAGTCTGAATGGCATATGACGGTGCCTGCGAAGGTTGATGCGTGTACATGGTTTCCGGGATAGTCGGGCTGTTTCCTGAGGCCGGCGAAAAGCTGCCCGGGCTGCTGCTCAAGGAGGCGACGCTGCCTGCCGAGTAGGGAATCTCAACGTTGGTTCGCTCGACGTGTTGCCGAGGAATGTAGGCTTGCTGAACGCTTGTGGTATTCATGGTAGCGATTCCCGGGTTGCTCTGCTCAATAACATAGTAGTGCTGAGGCATGCTGGCCGTGCGGTGTACCATCTGGATGCCCTGCGGCTGACCGTGAGGCGCGGGCGAGTGGTACTCTTGTCCCTCGCCAGCGACGCTGTGCCGATGAGGCATCTGTTGAGCCATGTTGTAGCTCATGTGTTGGCCAAAGTCGGCGAACGAGGCGGCTCGGTGCATGGCGTGGGCTTGAGCCAAGGATGGGTGCGAGCCCATCGGGCCGTGTCCTGGCCAGGATACAGAGGACTGTGTGGGAGTGGGGGGCGACTCGCAACCGTCTGATTCTGAAGTGCAGTCGTCCATCAACTCGTTGGGATGCAGCCCGCGCTGGTGAGACCGCCGCTGGTGCTTGACCATGGTCGTCTTTCTGCAGAAGCTATGGCATGTCAGCGTCACTGACGAGAGAGCGCGCGTTGGTGCTTGCAAACCTCTTCAGGCAGCCATCGTGTGCGCACTTGTACGGGCGCTTTCCGGTGTGAATACGTCGGTGGCGGGCAAGACTAGAAGACTGCAAACGAATGAGCCAGAGGCCAACAGAGTGCCGTGAGAGTCACGTACATCAGAGAACCTCTTTCCGCAGCCGATGTGCTGGCACTGGTGAGGCTTCTCGCCGGTATGTGTTCGGATGTGTACTGTCAGAGCACTCCTCTGGATAAAGCTCTTTCCACAGCCGGGAGTAGAGCAGGTGTAAGGGCGCTCATTGGTGTGTATCCTGTAGTGCCTTTGGAGGTCTGACTTGCGGTTGAAGCTCTGTGCGAGGTTAGCAAGCGCTGGGCGGCTGTGCCATCGGGACTGAGGACATGCCTTGTTGCAGGTTTCCCAGTCGCACTGAAAGGGACGAGTCGTAGGCTCGTACTCGACGAGTTCGAGGAGTTCCATTACGGCGCGTGTTGGCTCGTACTCAAGCCAGAGATGCTAAGTGCTGATTGTTGTTTGTCAAAGGAGATGGTAACGAGGTGTTTGTTTGTAGGAAGTTGCTGTCCGATGGTCGAGGGCTACGCCGTCATAAACACGGAGGGCTGAAAGGACCCTTGAAGGGGAGGGTCGTAGATGGTCCGGGTAAGAGTCGTCCGTACTGCTGACGTATCCGGGCCGAGATGGTGCAGTCGAGTACGAACGGCGTCGACAATGGTCAGACAAATGCAACAAGAAAGGATCGAGCTTTCTTTTTGCTGTTGCGCTTGTGGTGGCGCCGGCGTGGTCTCTGGGGTAGCGAGAAACGGTCGTTTTCAGGCAGAGCCTGGTGTCTGAGACAGTGGCAGAGACACGAGTGGGTGAGAGGAGGAAGAGACGCAACGGCAGACGATGTGTGGTAAAGTAGAGAGGCGATGGGAGGGTATATAATAAGTGGTGATGAAGGAGATCGGGGCGAGGGGTGGAGGAAGGGGGAGGAGGTTATGTATGTATGGCAACAAGTGGGAGAGATGGTGGAAGGCTATCGCGGAGGGCTTGATATGTACTTGTAGGCGTGTACCGGGCGGAGGAGGTGTGTACGGCAGAGCCCACCTGAGGCTTTCCCGGCGAAAAAGGTATAATATGATCGGGGTCGGGAGGCAGGGGGGGTGGGTGGTGGAACTCTGGATCAAAGTGGTGGGTCGGGGGTCCAGGGGCAAGGAGGAGAATGATAGCCCTGGGGTGGTGTCAAGTGGATAGACCACCAGAGATTCTTGTTATTTTCGGCCGGTCACAGACCCTGAAGACCTTGGCTGTCGACCAGAAGTGGGTGCGGCAGTCGTGGGAGCGCTCGGGCACGGTCCAGCCAGGATCTGCTACCGAAGCGGCTAGAGCAGAGGGCAAAGACCAGTTGTCGTTGCAGCGAATATGACGATCTTGACAAGAGGGTCGCTTCGACGACTGTGCGGCCGGGTCCTCAAGCAGACAGAGGCGGCGATAGGTATCTCGGGGGCAGTGCTATCTGCCGTCGGGCAAGAACCGTCGTGTATCAGGGGCGTGTTTGGCGCGTCGAGTCAGGGCCAGCTGAAAGGAGACTGACAGACTGCCAGCGTGCCTCTGCAAGACGGTTTTGGCTCGCGGGTGCTGGTACCGTTCCTCTGTGGGCGCGGCTGTGCTGGCAGAGAGACAGGGCCAGGAATAGACGGGATCGAGAAGGTAACACAGGTCACGGCGTATCGATCCAATAAAACGTACCGGCAGCGAGTCGTGGCCGTCGCCGGGGTTTCCGTGAGGGACTCGTCTGAAGAAGAAAGACGGGAGGCGCAGTGACGCGGAGTAAAGAAACACAAGCGAAGATCAGCCTGGCCCGTTGAGGGTCTGCCTGGGGATTCTGACTCGAGGCAGGCGTGTCAGAGGGGCGGCCAGCAGGCGAGATGTGATATTGGGGTCTGGCGAGACAAGGGACCGACGAGAGTATTGTGTTTCGTCCGGCGGTGGTTGGAGCACCGTTGACGATGCGGCAACGGGGCGTAGGCTGGGACGACGAGGCGGCTTACACGCACAAGATGAAGGGCAACAAGGGGGTGGTGCTGCTCGTCTGGCGGAAGCGTCTGAGCCGGAGCAAAAGTCTTGAAGGGCAAAGGAAGCACTTCTATATACTTGCACCACGAGGCGTAGAGACGGGCGCCTTTGCCTGCAGGGAGACTGCAAGTGAAGAAGAAAATACCCCGAAGAAAGAAGCAATGCACGCAGCTGGCAGCACGGTTCGTGGATGGAGAAGGGTGGGCAATGGGACTTGGCCGAGCCAGCAGCTGGGAGGTGCCGTATCGGGCAATGGTAAAGAGGCGAGGTGGGGAATCGTCAGGTCGGCATCGAGTCGTGCGTGGGCAGCTCGGGGCGCCAGGTACTTTGGCCGTTGGGGGGAGCAAAGCACATGGTTTGTGGCTAGGATACTTTGGCAAAGAGGCCATGATGAGGTCAGGGCCGGACGGGCGTGTGTAAGTGCGCAATCGAGGGGCGGACGGGACGCAACGCGACGGGATGGGAGGGAGTCAGTGAGGCCAGGAAACTGGAGACGTTTGTGGCCTTGGGGTGCCGCCCGTCTGGCTGGGGGTGGGCGCCGTCTCTCGCAGGCCGGGGTAGGGGGTGTGGATACGTGCCGGCGGAGGTACCTGCCACTACGGTACTGCAGGTCGGGAGGTGCTGCACCGCAGCCAACTTGACTGGATTGATGTGAGGGTGAGTCGAACCGAACCGGCCGGACTGACAGACTGGTTGGTCGACTGAGGAGGGAAGCCTGCAGGTTCACTGCCGCCTTGCACCTGCCTCGCCTCTGCCCGCCATGCGGATGCGCCTGCCCTTGCCCTTGCCCTTGCCCATGCCATGCCATGCCATCTTGCGGCGTTGCCCACCTGCTCTTGCCTCATGCTTCACTTATCCAAGCGAGCATGGATTCATGGGGAAGGGACCCCTGCGCCCCTGCCTGCGCTAGCGCCGCCAGGAGCTCTTCCCGGCATAACGGGGGGAGGGGCGCGCTAAGCCCAGTCGAGGCCCCCGTGGTAGTCTGGGTACAAGCCGGCGAGTACCTGGGTACTTGCCGCCAGGTATCGCTATCAGGCGCGGCGGTGCGGTGCGCACTGCAGAGACTCTCTCGGAGCAGGAAGCAGCAGCCCAGAGTGGTGCTGCTGCTGCCCCAATTCCCGTATCGCATCTTCTCAGGCGGGCCCCCCACATCCCACACCACCCGTGACCACTTCACGCCCAGCCCAGCTAAGCCAACCCAGGCCAGCCTCGGGGAGCCATGCCGGTACGTACCTGAACTTACCGGACGGCTGGACCGTGGTGCGGGTCGGTTTGGACATTGGACAAGCACCAAGCGGATGGGAGGGGAGGGGGGAAGAAGAAGACGAAGGGTGGTGGTGTGGGCATCGAGGCAGCATCGGCGAGGAAAAGGAAAACAACGAGACTGACTTTGGCCAAGCCCCGCCTAGTCCGGCCCAGTGCGCTGCTGGTCTGGCTGGCGGTTGACCCTTTTCCCACTGACAGACGGCCCTTGGGCAGTTGGAGGTTATCCCAAGGCAAGGCACAGCGGTGGTGTACGTCAGGACTTCCACAGCGCCCCCCCGGTGGGCGAGCCCGGCGTCGGCGTGTCCATGGCGCGCCCGTCTCGGCCGTGTTAGTCGGAAGTTGCCCATGAGGCGACAGCCGGAGACGTGGGCATGTGGTGGCACGCCAGCGAGCTCTCCGTGGGCTTTGGCTGCCGATTGGCCCACTGACTTGCGAGGCGCCGTCCTCTCTATCGTCGCACGAGGCAGACGCACATGCATGCGCGCTCTGTGTGAGCACATACGCTTACGGACTCGAGCGGGCTGTTTCTGTCGTGCTCGTCGTCGCGGCCGGACGGAGTGAGGCACTCACATTCTTCTTCTGGACAGGACGAGGAGCGCCACAACACGACGATTGGAGGGGGGTTCTGTGCAGCACCCCTTGGACGGGCGAGGAGGGGGGGGGGGCCGTAGCCGCTCCAGGGGGGCGGGCTTTCTCTCTGGTCTTCGTCCTCGCCCTCTCGTGGCATCTGTGGCGAGCCCGCTGTGTGAGTCGTCCTTTTTCACCTGCTGCGACCGGCGGGAAGAGGCTTCTGGGCCGCCCGCCCGCCCGCTCGATGGGGGGCGGACTCACCCTCAGGGACCAGGGAACTCGACTGAGGCCGTCCTGGGACCAGGGTCTGGGGTCGAGCGACAAGAGCGCCAGTCCGTCAGAGGGATCACAACTCGCCCGCCGCCAAGGCGTGCCAACGGGCTCGTCTCGATCGCAGCGGGGACCAGCCTCTCGAGCAAAGAAACGGGCGGGCCGTCTAGCGGGCCAGAGTGCTGCTACAGTGGCGAAGTTGCTCCGGAAAGTCTAGTAACGTAGTTGGTAGGTTGCGATCACGGCAGACGGGACGGGGACCGTGGAAAGCAAATCTGAGGGCGGGCGTGACGCGAGTCGTCGGGATGGAGGCCTGGTACCTGCGTCGGTGTGGCACCAGCGCGGGGCATCGTTGTACCACATCGGCCGCTGCCACGACCGTCGTCCCCCATTTCCCATGGTAATGCAAGCCCGTCATGTCCGCGCCACGGGGAGGGGCGCAATGTGACTGATCGACGAAATACGCTATCGGTGCCTCTCGAGTCGCCATGCAGGTGCTGCTGCGGGGTGACGAGATGAGGATGACGAGAGCCTTGCCGTGGACATTACAGCACCCCGGAGGCTGCCCGTCGGCCTCGATCCGTCCCAGCGGGCGAGAAGGTGAGGTAACTTCCGAGGTTGGCCCAGGCGAGAGTGGGAGAGGCACCGCATGCCTCATGAGGGGGATGCCCAGCCCAGCCCGTCCGGGGGGGCAGCTGTGCAGCCCTAGGGGTACCGTCTGGCGCGGCCAGCGGTGTTACAGGTGTCAATAGCGCTCCACTGTCGGGCATAGAACGGCGGGGCCCTGTGGGCGCCGCTCCGTGGGCGGGTTGGCGGGTTGGCGATGGCGCCGTCCATGAGGTGGGCAGCGGGGACCGGCTCCAGGTGTGGGAGAGGTCTGGTGTGTGTGTGAGTGTGTCCGCTTGACCCGGACGGTACAGGTGCAGGTTGGTCTGGGACGACGGCCTGCCGTTTGGCGGACCAGACCGGAGGTGAACGATCGCTTCAGGCAAACCCACGGTCGCGTAGCGCTCCCAATCGGGCGTGCACGAAGGTCGCCACTCAACCACCAACAGAGACGCGCCCACCGCGGCATCGCCGCAGCAGCGTCTGCCTCCGCCGAGCCGCGATAGACTCCCGGCCTTACCAAGCGCTGACCTCTGCCTTATCCAACGCGCGTTTGGCAAGGCACACCATGACAGATGCAACCCGCAGTTCTGCGTACCAAGCCGCCGGTTCCTCTGGGTCGGCATTTGTAGCCCAGTTCTTTTTTTTCTATTTCGAGAGATGCTTTTTTGAATCCAAACGGGATTCGGGACCACAGATAATAGCGTACCAGATATTTCAAAGTACGGGGTTCGCGGTGTGGGCGACCGCACATCCACTCACACACGCGCGCGCACACAAGCGCACACTCTGAAGTCCCGGCCGGACGGGTGATGTGCCGCCCGGTGTCTCCAGCAGAGCCTCCACCCAGAACTGGGCGCGGTCTGGTTTGACAGCGCAAATCCCGACCCTGGCGGCGGTGCCTTGGCGCCATCCTCACCTTGGGTCTGATTGCGTGACCTTGGTGCCTTGGGGCTTGGGTCGCGCGCTCTCTTGTCTGCTTGCTGCAGCGGCGGGCCCTGGGCTGGGCGGGCGGGCTGGCATTTCCTCCGCTCGGTGCGGCCGCGTGCGCGACCCAGCCCCAGTTCCCAGCGCCGACCCGACTGACGGACATCCGGCCGGGCGGGCGCTGGGTCGTCCTGCTGCTGCTTGTTGCTGCTGCTACTGCTGCAAGTGACGGGTCGGCTGCGCTCGCGCGCCTACCCGGCCAGGATGGTTGCTTTTTGTTAGCTCGTCTGTCATATTTTCCCCCTCTCCTTCCGTCTTCCTTTCAAGGTTCGTTTGTTCGTTCGTCCTGCGGTCCCTGGTGCACAAGTACCTTCTGTGCGGCAGAACAAGTTTCTTGCATTCTTGCATGGGCGGCTTGCGGCCCGGTTTGGACGGGGCGCGGCGGACGGGCAACGGGCGGGCGAGGGGGTAAAGGTACGGACGCCGTCGGCAGGACCCCCCTCCCCCAGAATATGATGCCCGCCTCCGGCCTCTCAACTTGCAGTCATTCCTCCGCTCCGGTGGCTGGCTGGGCCAAGCATTGTCCGGCCCGTTTCTGGAAAACAGTCGATGCGCAACGCCCGCCACCAGGGCCGGGAAGGGGGCGCCCTGAGATGGTCAGATTATGGGACGACGACGACGACGCAGAGCCGCGGGCGCGGCGCGGCGCGGCGCGGCGGACGGGAGCGGGAGCCGCGCCGGGTGGTGGGCGAGAACGGGTAAACGGGCAAAGCATACAGCTACAGTCAAATACTGGTACTACTACTAATACGTACGATCAATGCCAACAAGGGAAAAGGGCAGGGCAGGCAAACAAGGAACGACGAACAAACAGGCAAAACGGACCGTGTCGCGAGGCCGGGTCGGTATAGTTGACCTGCCGCTATAGTCCGGGGTAGCTGCGGAATCATCATCATCATATCAATCATCAATGCATCAATTCTCTGAGGAGGAGGGGGGTCCCTGGCGAATTGACACATCTCTTTTTTGCGAGAGAGAGCCCAAAGCAACGACACATGTACATGCAAGCAGACCTGTGCTCGCATGCATTACTCGTGTCACCCCGGCCACAATGCCCTGGGTGCGCGCGCTGCCAATCTTGCCCGCCCTGGGCCGTAGGATCATCGTCATTCGCGTTTGAAGCCTTGCCTCGCATCTCGTGCAGCGGCAACCGCACGCCAGGTTTTGCCGGAGCTTGTTAGTTAGTTGCATGGCTGGTCCACCCCTCACTCTCTCAATTCAACTAACAAGATTTCATGTCATGGCATGGGAGGAGGTATTAGCCTGCCGGCAAGGCAGGGCAAGGGCAGGGCAGTTGAGAACGCCGCGTCCATGCTTCCAGCGTTTTCTCCCTCCCGCAGCCCTGTCGCGCGTCGCAGGCCCCTGTTCGGTTCTTGCAGCGTCCGGGCCCTGCAGGCCAAGAGAGCTGGGGGAGCTGGCTGGGTTGCGGCCCTGGAGGCCTGGCCTCGCGCCCATCCCACCTCCCACCCGAACAAACCCCCTCCCGCCAAAAGGTGTGTCTGCACTGCCGGCACCTCACTAGGCTGGCTGAGTGGCTTGCCCGGCTTCTTCTGCAATCGGCATCGGCTGTAACAGCCCTGTGGCCAACGCTTCCACAGGGATTTGATACAGCGCCATATCCCTCCCTCCTCCCGCCTCATCCGGCTTGCCGGCCAGGCTGCGCAACGCACCGCGTGATCGTAATACACAGTCGTTGTCGTTCTTCATGTTACTGCTAGGCAGTACTAGTGCTCCGCAACCCACGTCAGAATGGCATGTGCCCCTGGCCAAGGCAAGCCAAGAGAGGAAGGCTGGTGTGTTGAGCCTTGCATCAGCACGGCGCACCAACGGCCGTATCGTACCGAGAGCCGGGCCGCTGCTACTCCTGTTGCGTGCCGGCTGGCAGAGTCGCTTACCGCGCGTCAAGATTTTCTCCTCACGCGTTGAGGTGAGGTGTTTGCGATGGAAAATCCTTCCCGCTCAAGGCGCTGCAACATCAAAGCCCACAGGCTGTGCGTTTGCATGAGGGATGGGTTGGGCGGCTCCGGGCCGGGGTTCCTGCGTTGCGTCGTCGCGAGATGTGGTGCTGTGAGGGCTCTGCAGGTCGCTGCAAATGCCCTACTGTGCCTGCAGGCGTTTGCCTGGGCATCCATGAATGGACGCGGGTTGGCAAGCATCGGGGCGGCCCCCCCCCTGCGGGCCTGGCCAGGCTGGAGACGGGAAGGAGGGTCGGCTCCCTGTAAGGTACAGTGAGGTAGGTGGTGGTGCCTTGCTTGAGGTCCATGGGAGGCTGGAGGGGCAACTTGGGCACCAGCAGCAGCAGCAGCAGCAACTGGTCATCCACCAACCACACACTGCACGCGCTAACTACAACCAGCCCAGCAGGTGCGGCGCCGCATGCGCAGTGGAAAGAAGGCCGCTACCCGCCCGGCGCCCCCGCCGCCGCTGATGATGCTTGTGCCGCTGCACAGTCATGCCCGCAGACCGTGCGCCCTGACCCTGAACCTGAACCAAGGCCCCTCCCCAGCCCAGCCCAGATGGAATGTTTCAAAACGCTCGCCCGCCCGTCCGCTGCCGTTTCGACGGGGCCCAGAGCGGGTTTTGAGGGGGGGTGGCCACTGGGCCACGCCTGCCCACGCGGGCGTCCTGACTCGCCCTGTGCAGAACGGGGTCCGTCCAAATCTGCGTGCCCCCAGCAGATCCGCTATCGACGACTGACGGCACGACGACGGAATAGACAACGAATGAACAACCGGGGGTTGCGGATCTGTTAAGTCCGCACTTTACCTACGTGCCACACATTAACTTGATCAAGGTAGGTGCTTGGCCAAGGGTAGCTCCAAGCCTGCCTGCGAGTCCATGCCTCTGGCCAACGATGTACTGGCCATGCCCCTACCAAGACAATGAACGCTCTGCTTGGCTGCCGGCGCTGTTGTCGTAGCTACTGCATCATCCTCTTACACTCGACTTGCTCTCCCCGCATACCTATCTGCACATCAGACACGGCAAAAACACCCCTCCACAGCACTCCGTAGTTTAAAATAAAAAATGGACGAGCATGCACTACGTGCATACGTTCAGCCAGCCCCTGCCCTGCGAGCCTTTCCTACACGCAGACAACAGCAACTTGCATGCCAAGTCGTGCCGCATGCAACGCCCAAACGCAAACGAAACACGCGCGCCCTCTGCTCCCCTTCCACGAGTTGACTAGCATGCTCGTTTCTCTCGCATTGCCCTACTAACATTGGAGGTGCATACCATCGTCCCACAATGCACCACAAAAGGACGTGCGCCCAGACTTGTCGGGCCGGGGAAGTGGCGCCGTGCGCATCCCGTGATAAGGCTTCGACGCAGGCCGGCGTCGATCCAGCTTCTAGCGAGCTCAACCATTTTATCCTGAATGTCCTGAGGTTCTACCCACGGGAGTCGCTTGTGCTTCTCGAGCCCTGTTCCCTGCTTCGGCCGGTGGCTGACTACTAGACGACGTGCTCTATTGCGCCACTGGCTGACTGCCTTACCTACCAAACCCCAAACATTGAGATATCGCAGGCCCAGGGGCATCAGCCATGCTCGCAGCCAAGTAATACCCGTCCGTTAGCCGCGTCAATAAAGTCAGAGAACCTTGACGAGAGAAGCCACGGAAAATCGTCGCCGTTTGCCCGTGTCCACAACCAGCATCAGCAGCTGTCCTGAGCCAAGCCCGCCCGCCATTACACTAGCCCAACGCAATATGAGGCCACACCGCGCTGACAGATCATCGGGAGTTATCCGCGCCGCCCCTCCTGCCATGTGTGCTCCAGCTACGCCAGCTGCCTTAGTAATTTCCATGATGCTGCTGGACCGGACCTTCAGCTGCTGTGGCACTCGCCCGAGAAATTGACGTTCGCCACTTGCCGCCACAGCTGGCGACGACGACGACGACGACGACGACGACGGAAAGTCACCGCCACCGCGTGTAAGCTAGCAAAAGCTCCCCCCGCCCTCCAACTGCTCGTCCCCTAAGATCCCATCCGAGGCGCAACCAGCTATTGCCCGATCTGGCAATCTCCACACGGCCCACGGAGCCAACTCGTACGACTCTGAAAGGCACAGTGCAGGGGGCCTCCTGGCAGACAGCGTTGGCCAAGACCTCCATTCCGAGGACCTTTGTCGATACCGGGCCCGATTAGGTTCAGAGCTGCCTCCCCGGTAATTACGCGTCGGTGCAAAGTTTAAAATGCATTGTGCTTTGCGGAGAGCGCCCAAGGGAATATCACGGGAGGCGTTTGGCCGCCTGTCGCGTCCCACACCCAGGCTGAGGGCGCCAACCAGCGCCCGGCGCCGGTCCCGAAGAAGGCTGTGGGGTGCTCGTCTTCAACGGTGCTTGTTCCCGGCCGTGCTCCCGAACCACAGGTGCGCCAAAACAGTTGGTGAGCGTGCCCATGACGCACAATGATACCACGCACGCACGTGGACCTGGCCTATCTCCGGCACGATCCCTCATCATTGCTCAGCAGGCTGGTGTGCAGCTGCGACTGCTCGACATCAAACCTTGGGCCGGCAACGGCCTCGTTCTGCGTGAGGGGCGCCGCAGATGCTCTCGGCAATGCGCGATGATGCAGGGGTACCGTGGCGATGCAGTTTCCCTGGGGATCCTGGTGGGCACCCCTCCCCTCGCGCACCGGCAGGAAGCACATACTATTCGAAGCATGCTGTATCAAATAGCCTTTGATTCGTATCTCCATGGCCGCGGGACGGTTCCATTTCTCCGACTTGAAGTCAGATCCGGCTATGCCCGTAGCAGCAAGGACGCAAAAGTCGGTCATCCCGGTTCGGGTGCTTTGTCGCGTACTTCGTAGGCACCGACGATTCTCGCGGCCAAATTCGTTGTCCCCCATCTGTATGCGCCCAACACAAAGAGCCCGTGTGCAGTCGACGTCAGGATCTGGCAGCCAGGCGATAAAATCACGCGATGTGTTAGGTCCCTGCTTTGTTCGAGTGCGGTCAAAACCGATCGGCACCAGCGTGAATGAACTCAGGGGCTAAGGGCCACGACCCAGCTCAGGAATGCATAAGCCCATGCGGCCACGCGAGACTGACACGGACTTTGGTGATTGCAGGTGTTGCGTACGGTCACAAGGTTTCAGTCGGGAAGTGTTCCATGACAGCCACCAAATGCAACCCCAGGCCACCCGAGCTCCACGAGGCGCTTTGGTTGGCAACCAACTCACTGAGCGGGCAACGTGGAACCTGTCCGTCCGGTCGGGAGTGCGACCCGGCAGTCGCAACGGCATCATTGAAGCCAGCCCAAACACACGCTGCGAGTCGCGCCGATGCGGCTCCGGACGCCCCGACGTCTTTCTCACGTGAAAGGCATGGCGACGATGACGGGCCAAGCGGAGACGCTCTGCAGATCATCTGGCGAGGCCCGTCTGCGAGCCACGGCGGGCCCACTCAGAACCGGCATTGCTTCCGCTGAAGGCGTGGGGACCCTGGGGACGACGGCCAGGCCGCCGTGGCGCTGGAGATGCCCCCATTTTGTCCCAAGGGGCCCCATTCATGGGCGCGCCAAAGCCAGTCTGCGTGGCCCAGAAGGAGTTTCCAACGGCCGGCTTTGAGCCAGCAGGCGTCACGCAACCAAGAGTGGAACAAGCACATGGCGGGAGGCGTTGGCCCCGAGCCGTCGGTCGTGTCTCCCGCACCCGAAGCCCGTCTAACGTTGCGTCGGCCTAGATAGCACAGGTACCTCACTTGTCCATCGGCAGCGAGTCAACAGCTCTTGATCGGCGTTCTGTATCAGAGGCGCGCCAGTGCAGACTGGCATCTGCCAGGCATGACCGCCGCGATTGCCCTCGAGCTCGAGTGCGCGACCCATGTGGCGGGCGGCCGTTGTAGGAACGTAGCGCATTCTCGTTCACCCTGTCATTAAGCGGCGCAAAGGCAGACCACATCACCGTCTGTGGGCGAGTTATGGCCGACGCGGGGACTGGGCGAGTCACTAACCAGAGCTGCTGCTGGCGTCTTGCTGATTTATGCCTGCTAGTGGGAGGTGCTTTGTGTGGTCCTTCGTGTGGTTCATGCACGCCCCATGCATGAGGCGAGCACGGATGGGCGGCTCGCCCTCAACCAATCCTCCCAGGCGATCAGTCGGCGATTGTGGATCGTCTCTGGCTTCAGCGGCGGTGGCCGCTACGTGCCGCTAATTTGTCGAGAATTAGTTGAGCGGGAGAGCCAGGCCTGCCGTCGGCCTCGCTCCACCAGCCGTGCTTGACAGCTCGCCATCCTCCACATCGGTCTTCGACGGTGAGCATCGTCATGTTTCCCAGGCTCAGCTGGTCCGTCGCTGACGCATCGTTACCGATACTCTCGCACAAAAGCTTCCCATATTCGACTGCAAGTCCTGGAAGATCTGCTGCCGGCTTCGTAGCGGAACGCGTCGGCACTCGAGACTGCGAAACTCTGCTTGTTGCAGGCCGCCGCCTGATCAAGTGGTGGGCGCAACGGATGCAGGGGACGTGCCAGGGGGAAGTGGCGTCACACAATCGCCATCCGGGGATTCGTGACAGTCTATCGGCCTCAGCAGTTGCAGCCCGACCACGGCCGATCCGGGTTTGACAAGCCCAGCGCCGGCTGGCTCAAGTCTCCGCCATCACTGGTGAGCGCCGCATGCTCCCCAGTCACCATGCAGAATATCAGGGGTCATCGGTGCGCAATGGGCCTGGCGCCGTGTCGTCCAGCAGGCATGTGACGAGTCGTCCACTGTACGTATTTTGCTCTCAAGATGCTGTCCAGGCAAGGTCGCCAAGAGGTCCGCCGGCCGGTCGCCTGAGGCTCCTCATCGAATCTCGTGTTACCACCGATTGGCGCCAGTGATCTGCACCACCGCCAGCATCCCTCCTAAGTTGAGGAGTCGGAACCCCTCGGCATCGCTGGACAAGAAGAGACTGCATGGCCGCTAACGCAGTTAATCAAACCCAAGGCCTGGCCCTCTTGTCGCCCACTGCGGGCAGAGGGCGTCGGCTCTGCCCTACACACCGGACCAGGCACACAAGTCGTTCCTTGTCGCCGACTCACACCCCTGTACGAGGTACGGACCCACCTGTGGATGCATTGAGCAAGCCATGACACCATCGCAGTCCCCTGTTTCTTGCTCACGAGGCACGGGTAATAGCGAGGCATTGTCCGATTCAGTTGGCTCGAGGCCGGCGATGTACCGGATCATCAGCGACGACCTCCTCCAATGCGTTTCAGGGTAACGATGATCCTCTTCGCTACCCGTAAGACGATGCTTGTCTATTCGCCCAGACAGGAACCTCCCGAGGCCGCCCTTGAGCCGGCCAGCTTTGCGAACATGAGGACTTGCGTCAACGTGTTTCCTGCTGCCGACGTAGATGCATTTGGTAAGACGTAACGTACGTGAGGAATTGGCAGAGATAGAAACGTTCGGGAAATCTCCGGGGATAGGAGGCACGATGAAGCCTGACTTTGCTGATCTGCTGCGGGCAAACTGAGACAGTGGTGATTGTATGTACTGGTCGTGATGCACTCGGAGGCACGGGTCACGCCGCTGCCCCGGAGAATTCCTGCTTTTCCACTCACGAGCGGGGTTGCCGGGCGCAAACGTCAACTCCGCCAGTGCCCTCGTAAACGAGGAGGCAGAACCTTGATGGGCAATGCTGTAGACGGGTTTGCGGCTCATGGGCCCCTGATACGCAATTGCGGGTGGACACTGGTGGCATTGGGTCACTGTCTTGGGAGTTGCTCCGCTGGCTTCACGGTCTGTACCAAGACGTGGGCCTAGGATGGGTCCACTGGATTACCTGGGAGCTGCTAAGACGCGTGGAGCCTTCCAACTGTAATGGGCAGTCTGTGCAGTGGGAGAGATCCCGCTGCGACTTCTGGGGGCGTGGCCACCACAGTGGCTGCCTGGGTCGCAGAATGCGAACGGGCGCTCTCCAGGGCGTTGCAATGTTCAACAGCCAAGGGGGGGATCCGCAGCTGTGGCAGCGATGGCCGCGAGCTAATCGGACACTGGTGGACAATGCAGTGGGCGCTTTTCCTCTGCCACCGTATCCTACCGCCAAGAGACCCGTTCTCCCACCCACGACGCCGGCGCAGCTATCGGTGGATAATGGTAGCCACGGCAGCTAGTCTCGGTGGGAAGCAGCCATCAACACGCCTCTTGGGTCGTGACGCTGCGGTTCTCAGCTGGAATTCGTCGGCTCCGATGGGTGGTGGTGTGGGCATCCCGGTCGCGGCCAGGCATGGTTCGTCTCGTGCGAGTGAGTGGACTTGTTTCTCGCCTGACGATTGAGCCTGTAGCCCGAAGTTAACCTGATCAAAGTTCAACGAGGCCTCAGACGGCCCCGTTTGCCGCGTGCCGTTCGGAATGCCGTCGATCCTGCCGAAAACCTCGAGATTGAGACACAGGCACCTACCCAGCCCGGCTGTCGGGTTCCAGCTTGCCTCCCAATCGCATCTTGATGGCGTCTCGTTGCCTCGCGCCGGCCGTTGTAGGGTAGTAGTGCTAGGTCGATGGGCGAGGTCATGGTCGCTTGCGCTGGGCTGGCTGTCGGCGCAATGGCTGGCCACCACACGGTGAGCACCGTGGACCAACGAGAGGCGTTGCCATCGACCCCGCGCTGTCGAATCCCGCCAGACCCCAGTCGGCCACGAGTCGGGACCCTGTTCATCGCCGCCGTCTGCCGCACGCTGCCAGGGCTCCAGCCATCCATCCCGCGTCGCGCATCAGCGGGCCCGGATTGGCGCCACACGTTGGCTGCCATGGCTCGTCGGTGGGCTCAGCGTTAGCTCGTCTTGAGCACGCCGTCTTTGGGGGGGTGCTAAAT